TCAGCCCTGCCTACAGTTTCTTTCTAGCTAGAACAAAGCCACAGCATTCACATGGTTCAACAACCGTCACATTTTTGTAATGCTGACCTTCTCTGAGAGAATGCCCTGAAGTTTCTCTTGGTTAAATTTTTGTTCCCAACCAGAATACCTTTGAAGGGTACCTGTGTATCCAAGACACTGAAGGACACTGTACTGGTGAAAGAGACAGTCTGAGACACAGCAGCAGCCATGCATGATGTGAAGCATGAACTGTCTGATTTAAATGCCTACAGTCTAGAGCATGACCCCAACTCTGTTATTTGACAAAGAAAAACCTGTCTGTTTAAAAGTGAACTGCAGCACTACTCTTTTTCATTATGATGCACAATGAAACAAAAAGGTTTCAGCTTTAAATATTATGTGCACTAAAAACAGAGCGCACCCTAATTTCCAGGCTTGGCTAGGGAAGGGAAAAGATTGCTGCAAAGACAAAACTAACAGACAGATCACATCAACCCTTGCTCTTTATTTTGTTTTTTTTACTCCTATACTTTGGAATTTGAACTGTTAAATATAAAAGTGAACAGACAGTGAAATAGCTGAGACATTTAGACACTTAGCATCTCAGCTGTGGAGAATATGCAAACAGCAGACTACCGTAAAATGATCAAAGTATATATTTTATATGAAAGGAGATGTGGATTTCCTCTCTCTGGAATTGCTCAAGGCTAGAGCCTAACAGGTACACAACCTCTACTTGGGGGTACACAACCAAAGCTGCTGGGTGGAGCTCTAAGCAATCCGGGCTAATACAAGGCGTCTCTAAAACCAGATAATCTTTAAGGTCCCTTCTAACCCAAACCATTCTATGATTCTATTTTCTCTCCCACTGCCCAGGTAAATGCAACTACCTGCTCTTTAGCCTATACAGGCTTTGCACTCTTGTCCCCATTCTCTGGGAACAGAAGGAGCTGATTTCAGATCTGTGCCTGTATAAGCATACTTATATAAGCATATAATATAATATAAGCATAATTAATATAAGCATATTGTCAGAGCAGGGACCACACAACCAGATCAGCCCCCGACAGCCAGCACAAACCCAAAGGGCAATAGCTGTTGCAGCACACGCCACAGCTGAGACAGCCACAATACACAAAGTATCACCACACAATTTCAGAAGGCTTGAAGCTTTCCCCCACACAGAGTATCACCACAGCACATCAGAATGCTTCAAGCACCTGCCTGTACAGAGTAACATCCTATCACTTCAGAAGGCTGCAAGATCTGCCTATCTTCTTTCGCCCAGCCCTTTATACCCCTCATGTTGATGCACTGCACCTGTGTGCCCTCTGCTCCCTTTGGTGGTTGGTCAGTGCCCCTGGGCACTCCATGGCTCATTGCTGGAAGTGCTGCTCACAGCTCTGCCCACTGGGAATGAGGCTCGGCTGCAGCCCCACCCCAATTACCACGAACTGTGTCCCTACAAATAGACTTTCTGAGCTTTGAGTTATCTATCATGCCATGTGCATTTCAGGAATAAGTAAAAGATTAAAATAGTCACCAAGAGGAATGCTCACTGGCTGAAGCACTTTGATTTCACCAGAAGATCAGTTGTGCTGCTCAGCCACTTTTACAGTTGGTAAGAGCTACAGGATAAACATTTTGGAAAGCAGGCCAGTTTCCTTCCGATGTCTGCAGATAAAAAGCTCTATACCTACCTTTCTGTTAGCATTGTTCTCTTAGAATACATCCTGTTCTGATACAGACAAACCAAGAGATAACAATCTCTGGGAAAAATATTGTCTGACAAAGACTAAGTACATTGCTTGGCTAATATCCACATTACCTCAGAGGGAATATTTTGAGTTATCTGAAGCCCTGAGGTGGTTCTCTAAGGAAACACAGGGAGAACTCCATGGGCCACAGTCTGCTTGGTTCTGTGTCTTCTTGTTTGTTCACTTCAACAGCTTAAAGTGCACCTGAGCAAGCAAGACAACCAAACCTAATACAGAATTCAAAACATTATTAAAATGTCCATGCTGGTGCAATGTGAAAGAGAAATATTTCATGCAATGCCCTCTGCCTCTCTTCAGAAAATGAACTACATTTGAAGCATATGAAGCAACTCCTTAATTCAGTGTGCATGGTTCTTACAGAAGATCCTGAAGCTAGCCAACAATAAGCTTATTTTCCACAAAAAAACCCTTATCTCAGATAAAATGTCACATTTATTCTGAAAATATAAGGTGGAAGCAGAACCTGAATAGATGTTCACTGCAAAGATCAGCAACAGTCTTAAGGTAAACTGCAGTTCAAGGTACAAAGAGTGAAGTACCTGACCGGATCCCAAGATCGACGCAAATCAAATATCTGTCTGTAAGTCTTGACCCTGAATCAATAATATTCGATCCATTAGTTAGGTAGTGTAATTGGAGGACAATTATACAAGCTCACCAATATGAAAAAAACAGTTGCATCACTGAAACTTTACTGTAGTCAAATAGAAGTTACTAAAATCATAAAAAATTGTAACATCACAGGACCATAAAAATAAATAAAATATTTGAATAAAATATTCAAATGTGGTCTTGTGAGGAGACTTAAAGTAAAACCATCTTGGAACATGGGTCTGCAGGAGGGAATTTGAAATATATTTTTACTAGTTTTCCGAAGGCACGCTTACAAATGTTTTGAGAGCATCTATATAACTCTAACTTCCCTGTGCAATTGTTCTGGAACTGTTTCACCACAGGTGAAATGCTCATAGGAAATTCTCCCTGAAATCACAAGCTGACAAGGAAACAAACCAAGGAAATTCTTCTACCTAGCAACAGTACTGGGAAACAAGAAACAAAAAACAAAATCAAAACCAACAAACCAACCAAAACAAACAAACAAACAAAAATAAAAAAGAGAGGGAAAAATGTGAGAGAGAAGAATTGTAAACAATACTTCGGAGGAACCTTTTACCTTGGAAGAAGCTTTATACCCACCACTTTGTTCACTTTTTCAGAGCTGAGGAAAACAAACTTGGCACAACTGAGTTTGAAAATCAGAATTATAGTCAATGTGAGCTGTAGTTCCCCCAGCAAGTACCTCCCATCCCTTCTCCTCCTGTGAAAGGAACGAAACATTTCAATATACTCAAAAAGCATTGCTGTTCCCTTCCCTGAATCTGGTTAATTCAATGACAGAAACAATTTATATTTTAGTGCTGAAAAACAATGTTTGGACACTTGTTAAGGACTAGTTAAGTCTAATGACTTAAGCATCCCATCAGAAACAAAGTCAGCATTGAACTACAACTAGTTAATTTACAGACTATTACACATAGAATAAAGCAAGCACAAAAAAAAAAAAAAAAAAAAAAAAAAGGCAGAATAAAGTAAGTAATCAGTTGGTAAGTCCAGTAAATGCCTTCTAGCTAGTTGCCCCTCAGCACTTTGCTCCTATCCCTGAAGAAAGCAGATGCCAAGAGAAATGCACAGGACCTTTATACATTAGAAATGTTTTCCTTAAATACTCCCATATTTATGCCATTAGTGAAGGAGGCTTAGATCATATAAACAGATCATTTAGTAGAGACGCTTTTGCCTGTGTGAATAAAAGTAAGACCAATTTAACATGAACTTTAAGCATTTTAACTTCCCAGCACAGTCCCTCAGGGAAAGTCTCACACATGTACAACAACATATACAATGAACTTGCTTTCAGGTTGTAAACAGGGCACTCTTATCTCAACTGAATACCTTTGGAGGAGTTACTTTCATTAGCAGTCTCATTGGACATTAACCATTGTTATTTAACCAGTAAGCTTTAATGCAATACAGTCCTAGGACTTTCCCAAAACAAGTTGTTATTATTATTATTTCACTTATAGATAATTGGGGAACAAAAGCTGTCTGGTTTATACACCATTCTAATTCCTACCGATTTTAGGAGAAAAAATGAAACTGAATAATTCAGATATGATCCAAAAAGGATTTAAAATGCTGAACTATTGGTGGGCATGACCCCCCTGCCCCAAAATGCAGTAAGCAAAGCCTCACCATTGATTATTCCATGACCAAAAATTATCCTTAATCCTAGAGTGCTTCTGCCAGTTTCCAAATTCTTCTCTGACATGAAGGAGGGGAAAAAAATACAGACATACATCAGGTTCCACTCTTTGGGGTAAAAGCTTATCATTACCCCTGACCTGCTGGAAAGCAGCTCTGCAGAGAAAGACCTCGGGGTCCTGGTGGACAACAAGCCACGAGCCAGCAGTGCCCTTGTGGCCAAGAAGGCCAATGGTGTCCTGTGCACTAGGAAGAGCACTGCCAGCAGATCGAGGGGGTTGATTCTGCTCCTCTGCTCAGCCCTGGTGAGACTGCATCAGAAGTGGTGTGTTCAGTTCTTGGTTCCTCAGTACAATAGAGACATGGAGCTCCTGGAGCAACCAGTGGAGTGCAATAAGGATGAATGGTCAACTGGAGGATAGGCTGAGGGAGCTGAGCCTGTTTGGCCTTGAGAAGAGATGACTGAGAGTGGATTTCTTCAGATGTCTATCAGTATCTGAAGGGAAGGTGTCAGATGGAGCCAGGCCCTCCTCAGTGGAGCTAAGCAACAGGACAAGGGGCAACGGGCAGAAATGGATACACAGAAGTTCCACCTGAACATGAGGGGAAACTCTATTGTGTGGGTGACCATGCACTGGAACAGGTTGCCCAGAGAGGTTGTGGAGTCTCCCTCACTGGAGACACTCAAGAATCATCTGGATGGGATCCTGTGCCAGGTGCCGCTTGAGCAGGGAGCTTGGACCAGTTGACCCACTGCAGTCCCTTCCAACCTCACCCGTTCCGTGATTCCGCGATTTGCAAAACAAAGCAAGACCGCAGGACCGGGAGCCGCTATCAGCCTGGGAGAGCAAGAACAACGCAGTTTCTTCAGGCGGCCGCTCTCCCGCTGCGCCCAGCAGCTTTCCACACGCGTGCGCGCGGGGTTCGTGGGCGGCCGCCGGGTGAGGGCCGGGCGGGGCGGGCCGGGCGGAGGCGGCGGGCGGGGCCGCGGCCGTCGGTGCGCGCTCGCCTTCCGCCTCGGAGCAGCGGGGCGGCCGCGGTCAGGCCTGTGCCGGGGCGGCTGTGGCACCGCCGTCGCTGCTCTTCGGCTGCGTAACTCTTCCCCCGGCCCCTCCCTTCCCTTCCCCTCGGGTCCAGCGGCGGCGATGGGTTCCCGGGCGTCCACTCTGCTGCGGGACGAGGAGATCGAGGAGATCAAGAAGGAGACGGGCTGTGAGTGCGGGGGCCTGAGTGCGGCGGGGCGGGAAGGGGCGGGAAGGGAAGTCCGCGGGGTCCGCGGCCGGAGCGGGGCCGCTCGCAGTCCCTGGGGCCGGGCAGGCCCCGGCCGGCGCCGCCGCGGCGTTCGCGTCCGGGCAGTGCCCGGTCCCAGGCACCCGCAGCCCCCGGGGCCGGGCATGTCTGGCAGGCCAGCGGAAAGCTGGGAAGCGCCTCTCGGTTCCCCCCCACCGCTGCCGGTAGCAGCAGCGAGATCCCAGTGGGACAGACGGGCGGCAGTGCTCTTGGTGTGTGCTGTATTGTGTTCGGTCAGAGATAACTCCGTGGGTTTTGAAGAGTTGTCTGTCTCGATGCCTGGTGCTGGAGTTTCTCTCAGTTTTTAACCCAAAGAAGCTGTCGTTGGGTAGTAATTTTTTTTCCCCAAGCGTTATTTGTTTCATGGGCTAGTGCTAAAGTTGCCATAAGGGTATTCAGAGTGAATGCTGAGTGGCATTTAAACCATAAAAGAAGTAATGTAACTCATAAGAGATAAGTGTTATTAACTAAAAATAAGTGAAAATTCCTGTACTAGTCAGCAACTGGGAGACTGGACTCTAATATTTAGGTACTTTACCCTACAGTATTTGATCGAGTTGTTCTGCATAAACATGAAGTAGCTTAGAGAAGGTGAAACTCCAGTGTTGTTAATTTGCCTGACAGAATGATTGTGTGAGAGTTCCAGAAAATGATAATAAATGATTTAGTTCCACTAAATGATAATAAATGCAGGGTGCCTTCCTGACTATCTGGGAGCAGAGGTCATAACATCATAGGTATCACTTTGCTGTTTGTTTCCCCAGGAAACTTCTCAGGTTAACATGCCTTGCCCAGCTGACAATTTTTCTTCTGAATATACTTTCTGAAAATGCTTTCTTCAGTTTTATTTCCAATACAAATGGTATCATATATTCTTCTTAAGTGTTAGTTTATTTGTGTCAGGAAAATGAGTGGCTACAGAAAAGGAGTAGAAGAAGATTAAGACAGCACTGGAGCTACTGTAGTGGCAGGCTGAGTGAGTTAACATAGTTTCCATGATCCTTTTTCCATTTGTCATGAAAACCTTCTGCAGGAAGGCTGTGATAAACAAGTAGGAATGTCAAAGTCTGTTTATCCAGCAATAACTTTCTATTGCCTTTTTAATCACAAAGATCATGGAGTAAAGGTAGCCTCCTCTCATATATAAAGATGCTTCAAAATCCAAACCCCAAATCTGGACTATTTTCCCAGAAGGTTTTACATTTTTCCTCATGCTGCTACTTGATTTATTGTCTGCGGTGTTTTATTCCTTACTTAGGTGATAGTTAAATAAATACCATTAAGATGGCTGTATAGGCATTGTAAGCAATAAATCTACTTGACTCTAGTTAGCCTCTAAATGCTTTTCTTGCATCATGAGAGGGGATCAAAGTTATGACTGTTGGGTTTCAGCTTGGTGACCTGACGTCTGTTCATTTTCCCGTGGTTTTATCTAGTAAATTTTATAATTAATACCACTTTGTTAACCAACCATTGCTAATCTCTGACTCATGCTTGCTTGTAAGTCATCACAGTGTGTCTCATTGACATTATCAATCATTTTCTTCTTCTCCCCAGTCTGTAACTGCAGTTTAGGAATGTGATTTTTCTCTGCTTTTTATGCTTCTCTAGGTAGATGGAAAATTCCACCAAGCTGTTAGCACTGTTATACACTTCATATAGGTGAAAATATTTATACAAGGTGGGGAAAAAACCCAAACAAACACTGGTTATCTGGATCAAAGTTCACAGGCAGAATGCTAAGGTAGTGTTACTGAATAGACTGCTGTGGTCTGTTGGAAGCTTGATGCTGATGGTACTTCAGCTACTGAAGAGTTTGAGAAAGGGACTTTGTAGACATGAAAAAATCTGGCAGCATTACAAGTCCATCTTGAACTGATGGTCTGATAAGTGCTCCCAAGGATTCCTTTTTGGCCTCTTTACTGTGAAATGTGTTTCCTACAGTTCATCTGGGGTTGTTGTGAGGCACTGAGTAGAACAGTTCACCAATTTGATTGGGTTCAGCTTTGGAATGAGATAATTTCTGCTCAGTTTCATGTAGCACAAAACTGAATGGCTAGTGATACTGACATGAGTGAGAAACTGTATGTTCATGTTCTTCAGCAGAACAGATGAAGAACATGTCTTTTAGGGCACTAGAAGCATAGTCTTTCAAAAGCTATGCAATGACACAATCTCTTGAATTAAATTTGCTTGGATTAAAACTATTTTTTTTTTGGTGGTAGTGAAAAGCACTTTGTAGCATAAGTTCAGACACACGTGCAGAGGTAATGCATCAGGATCTCAGCTGCAGGTGTGAAGCCTGAAGTTGACAGTCCTAAATCTCACATGATGTTGTCTGAAAATTGTTTGCTTTGCATATAAACATTTTGAGATTTGAGCATGAAAACACCTTGAAGTCATCCTAATTGCTTTGATATTTCAGTAACAGCTAAAAAAAAACAGATGAGAGACCCAAGATGTTGCTTGTCTGCATTCTGTTGCAAGCTTTTGGAAAGCTGTTGGAATGTAACAGTATTCAAACTATTTGGTTCACACCCTTTGCTTCCATGCTTTGAAGCACTCTACCTAAGGATTAATAATAAATTAATGCTCATACCTTAATATAGGAGAAAAAAAATGTTTGCATGGTAGCAGATAATAGTTTTTTCTGATGGATATTTATATATTTTTCTAAATACATAAATATATTTATATGAGTTTATGCTGCTGTTGTAGACAAGAACATGTAATTGCTAAAAACTTTACAATGACTTAAGTAAAATAGAGAGAGCTACTGTTAATTTAGAGGTCTTGACCCTAAATTTTTAGGAGAATCTTAGTGGAGTAGCAGTATAGATAAAATGGTGTTTCAGCTAATTTTGAGGCTTAACCTTAAAATTTCAGTCATAACCTTAGAAGCAGTCATAAATTGCAGATCTTAATTCTCCTGGGTATTCAGGAGAATCTTTATCTTTGTTTACAAATGCACTGAAAAATGTCCAGTGACACAGCTTTTGTGAGGGATGAGAGCCAAAGGAAATTACGACAGAGGACGGTGGTGAACCTGAATCATCCTCATTTTTCACAGAGCTATGATATGCTTTTTGTCTAGTGTGACGTTAATGAAAATATCACTTCTCCTGTCAACGGCTACGTACTATTGCTCACATACTAGCTGTTACAGCGATGTTCCAAAAATGTAGATGCTGACATCAGTTTGGGAATGGTAGCTGAGTAGAATTCTCATCACCTTCTTTGTTTACAGGGAGGAGTGGGAGTATGGAGCTTCTAATAGGAGATCTAACTCCAGCCTTCTTTTTTTCACCATCAGTTCTTGTTATGGTATCTAAAACATTAACTCAGAAATGCAGAAGGTTGAAGTCTTTAGAGTACTGGTACTTGTTTTCTATGTGTGTGTTTCTTAACTTGAAAGTGAGCAAGCTGCCCAGTCTGATTGTAGAGAGTTGCCTGAGGTGAAACTGAGCAAATTGCCCAATCCTATGCAAAGAATGCAAGTTGCTGAGGAGACTAGAAGTCTGGGGGGGGAGGCGGGGCACGTGTTTGAAAACCCAGTTCCTGGCAGGTCATGCTAAAGTGGGGAACTGTTGAACCTAAACAGATAGCCTTGAGAAAGAAAGAACAAACCTGAAAAAAGAAATTTGCCTCACTTGTCGCTGATCAAACAACTACTGTGCAACTTGCCAAGTAAGTTTGAGCAAGTAGGAGAAGCATTGTGCATGTCCTGGTGAAGGCTTTTTAAACTACTTAATCTGAAAATCACAGTAAGTCCTAGTTTAACATTGTAGACAATCACACCTTTACTGAGTACACATAAACATTGAATTCAGTCTTATTTCATGTATTTATTAACTTAGTCAGACAAGACTGAAAAGCCAAGATCTCCTGTAGGGCCTTGTCGTTTAACCTCAGCTGATAACTAAGTACCATACAGATGCTTGCTTACTCCCTGGGTGGGGGGAGAGGGGAGGTAAAATCCATGGGTTGAGATAAAAACTTTAATAGTTGAAATAAAGTAAAATATAATAATAATTTTAAAAATGTTAATAATAACAGTGATAATACTAATTGCAATGAAAGAGAAATAAAACCCAAGAAAGACCAATGAAGCACAGTACAACTGCACATTCCCTGTTGACCAATGCCCAGCTTGTCCCCAAAATGTGATTGGCCCCTCCTGGCCAATTCCCTCAGTATACACCATGATGTTCTGTGATACAGAAGATCCCTTTGGCCCGATCAGCTGTTCTGGCTGTGCTCCCTCTCAGCTTTTTGTGCACCTCCTCACTGGCAGAACCTGGGAAGCTGAGAAGCCCTTGGCTTAGGGTAAGCACTACCTAGCAACAGCCAAAACAGTGTTTTGTCATCGTTACTCTTCTGTGAAATCCAAAAACCACAGCACTGTACCAGTTACTAAGAAGAAAATGAACTTCGTCCCAGCTGAAACCAGGACAAGTGTTCTTTCAGTGTTAAAGGAATTGCTATTCTATGTAGGTTTATCCCACTCACATCATAGACTTAGATCCAGTTGTCTGATATCTTGTATTGTCTAGTACCTTGGTAATATTGACACATTTATGCTGAACTTAATACTGCCTTTGTAATTTATATTTCAAACTGCAATAAAGTTTAAAGACTTAAAGTCTGCAATAACTTTCTGCTTGCTTTGTAGCCCAACTCCTTCTCAAATTTATTTAGAAATAAGCTTTCTAATTTTTAATTCCGTGTCCTAGAAGCCTGGAAATTAATTTTGTGAGCAGTTGGCTCCTGGGTTGGGCACAAAGGGTTTCAGTGAATGGGGTAACATCGGCCCGGTGACCAGTCACTAACAGGGTTCTGCAGGGCTCTATTTCAGGTCAGGCTCCTGTTAACATCTTTGTGAAGACATACTAAGTAAGTTTGCCAGTGTCACTAAATTGGGAGGAGCTGTTGACTCCCTCGAAGGCAGAGAGATCTTAACAGAGGGCTTGGCACCACAGTATTGCTGGTTTAATGCAGGATCTAAAAAATACTATTACATTTAATAATAAATCTATCTTTGGCTCCAAGTTATGGAACAAAGCCTTCCTCATCTCTGCTCTCTGTTGAGCAACATTAGAACCTGAGGGGAAAGCATGAAGCTGTGACAGGGATATTAGGACATCGTTCTTCACTCGGAGAGTGAATGGGCACTGGAATAGGCTCCCCAGGGAAGGGGTCACAGCACCACCCTGATAAAATTCATTAAATGTTTGGACAATGCTCTCAGGCACATGGTGAGATTCTTGAGGATAGTGCTGTACAGGACCAGGAGCTCATGTTTGGACAATGCTCTCAGGCACATGGTGAGGTTCTTGAGGATAGTGCTCTTGAGGATAGTCCAGCTATCTTGAGGATAGCTATCTTGAGGATAGTCCAGGAGTTGGACTCCAGTGGTTCTTCTGGGTCCCTTCCAAGTCACGTTATTCTCTTATTCTGTGAGCCCCAAAGTGTTCAGATTTCAGCAGTCCTCTAAAGAAAGAAAAGTAAAGTAAAAATTAAAGCCTCTCTGACCGCTTTCCAGATGCAGAGGAATTCAGTTCACTTTCTGTCTTTAGGTGGAAAACAAACAATGGAAATAGAGATAAGCAAAAGTGAAGGAAAGATCCTATAGGAGGGGGCTTTAGTGTCATGAGTGATACAGATGTCATCAGTGTAGGCTGTGTCCAGATTATTTCTAGCCATAAAGGAATGAAAGGAAATAAAGTGGAACTGTGAATCAAATATTTTTTTTATTTTTAATTGACATTTACTGAGCCAGGTAACCAAAAATTGTTAAAGATAAAAACCAGAAATGGGTAGAAGATAGAGTTAGACAGTTTTTTTGAAGAATGAGCTAATTTGTAGATTCTTGAATATTAAGCTGTGATTTATAGCTCACAAAGTCCCTAAATGCTTCTTGTCATGTGCTTTTAATGTAATGGTTCTATGTGAACTCTTTTTTTGAATACAGCTTCTGGCAACAGTGCAGTTCAGTGTAATGAGGTTTTCTCCTGTGAGGAATCATTGACAGGCTAATTTGTCATCTTGTTTCTTTTTTTCTTCAGTCTCCCACAGTCAAATCACCCGCCTGTACAGTCGCTTCACCAGCCTGGACAAAGGAGAAAATGGCACTCTTAGGTGGGTAATTCAGCTGCACTTGCATTGGCACATCTGTATTAGTGGCTTGCTGTTGCAGGACAGTTGCATGTTTTTCTCATTGGTAAATCACTGAGGCTGTTGTAACAAGTTCTTTCATACTTACTGCCTACATGAAAGGTTTACTTGTTGAGCTGAGGTGCTCTAAGTACCAACTGTCTTTACTGTAGTGTTGAAGGTTTGTAGTAGTTAACAGGAGAAAGTTCAGATTTGGTATTCAAAGTCTTATAAAATTGTTCAGAATTGTGAAACAAGACTTTCAGATTGTTATTTCTTATCTTTCTTTATATGTTGCTTCTACTGTTTAATACGAGAATGGTTCTGCTGTTTCATCTTTATCCTGGCTTTCATAAGAAAAAAGATCTGTACTTGTTTCTGATATCCAGTGTCTTTAAACACTGCTTGGATCTGCAATCCATTTACTGTATTTAACTTTGCACCTCTTGTTGAACACCCATATCTATTAGTATGCTTAAAAATAAAAAAAATCTGGAAACAATTCATTGAGACTAAACAAACTTCTATTGTTTAAAGTGGTGGTGCAGGACATCCTAAGATCTTTAGTTTGTTTCTTATCTACAACTCGAAAGCTACAGAACTGGTTTCTGACAGCTTAGTCAATTAGATAAAGATGAGTCTTCTATATGTTTCATTTTGATGGACCAAGTCTGCTAGAAAAGAGTATTCTCAACCAAAAGGTAAACTGTGGCTAGATGATGGCCTGTTAAAATATATCTCTGCCTGCTGTCATTCTGTAGCCTTCCCTGCTCTTGTGGATTTTGTTTCCCATTCACCATATAGCCATAGTGGCACAGGAAAGCTGGAGAAGAATGCAGGAGAGAGTAGAAAGGGGAAGGGGACATCGTTGTAGCATAACATGAGATCTGGCTCTTGCAGAGTTAATTTCTTTCATAGCAGCTCTATACCAGTCAAATTCAGTGATTCAGGCATTACCTGAAGTTTTGTATGTTATCTTGTAAAATATAACTGCAGGATGCACTATAAACCCAGAAAAGCTATAGGCCTACCTATAAACCAATCTAACTGTAATGCTGGAATCACCTCTTAACAGATCAAAGTGGCAAGTTGTAAGATACATGGTCTTTGGCAGTACTTTGGGCTTACTGCAGTTTCCTTTCCTGAGGGAAATGCGCAGTTCCTTCTGGTGCCACAAATTGCTGACTTCTCAGCATTTAAGTAATTGGATGTGGAATTGTATGGTAAACAGGACTACAGAGTGATTATTTTGGGTTAAAAATACTCTCCCTCCCCTTTTGCCGTTTGTAGGTTTTGAGGCTGATTGACTCCAGTGATTTGGACTGTGGCTATACTGTAAATTTCTAGACTTGCATAGCTGAAGGGATGATTAAATGGATTGTGCATGTAAAAAATTGGCTTGGGATGGGATATGCAGGAAGTTCCAAAAGCCCACTCTGATACTTAAACCACTGCATTATATAAATTGTAGCATTGGCAATTCTGATGTAGAGATCAACTGATGAGATTGTGGATAAGCTTAAAGCTCCTTATGTTTAAAACTATTTGGAAAAGAACATTAACAGCTTTTTCAAACTTTATATGTGAACTTAATATTCATTGATGAATAAAGGTGATGGCTACTGGATTAGTCAAGCACAGTTTGAACATAGGACATGCTCTTCCTCAACTCTTCCATGTCCTCCTCCAACAGTAAATGCACTTACTGAATCCGTAAGGTTTGTATAAATGTCAAAGTGATTGTACTCAGTTTATGTAAGAGGAGTAATTGATTAAATATGCTTTGAATGTCTGTTGCACAATGCTTAGTTTCACAGTGTTATGCATCAGGAGGAGGTAGACTTCCATTGTTGATAATCACGTGGAAAGGAAGTGGAGGTTGTTTGGGAAATCCCAGCAACTGTGTATTATGACTGCTTAACTTGCAGTCTTGGCCTCTAAGCACAGCCCTCTCTCAAACATGTCTGACTTATGAGTGGCATTCAATTTTTTAAACTTGTTCTGGTACCCTCAAAATGCAGACACTATTAAGTTTAAGTAATGGAAAACTACTTCCTGAAAAATAGATTGAGGAGAGAGCAAGAGCTACAGCTTGGAAGGTCATAGATGTTGGTTTCTGAGATACAAATCAAAAAGAACTTGATGCTTTAAGGCAAGTAAGAAGAAGTTATCACTTGCTTACTACCACCAAACAGTTTAGAGGCTATGTCTTCTGTTTGTTTCCTGTGAGGAAGATTTATTGTTTCCGTAAGGATGACTTACACCTTTGACTTACAAATCAAACATGACAAAATCACTCTTGTGACCATGATTAGGAAAAGAAATGTCAGTCAGTTCTTTATGGCACGAAATAAATCTTTAAATGTCAACCACCCTTCTGAAGAAGGGTAAAGTAAAGAGCACTTTGTACAGAAAATCTGGTAGATGATGATTAATCCGAGTAGTTCTGGAACGATAATCAAAAGCAGAAATCTTTCATAGACAGATGTTTCTATCCAGTGTACCTATGTGCAATTTCAAGGCACTTTGTTTTTAAAGAGTTACAGAAATGAAATGATGGTTATTGGTAAAGACAAAGCTTGTCTTTCTTCAAAAAATTTTTGGTTTTTGCTTCCTTTTTCCCCCTCTCACATATTTATTCTCTAAGCGACTACAGCCATTTTTACTTGTAAAGGTAAAAATGTCAGGTTTACCTTCACCTTTCTTGAAAAGTGTAGAAAATTTTGTATTTTTGCTTAGCTTCACTTTTTCTAAACAGAATGAGTAAGCTGCCTCAGACTTCCACCATCTGAACAAAACCATGTTGGAAAAGACAAAACTGTTTTTGAAAATTCTTTTGTCACTTTTGATTTCAATATTGTGACACACATTGAGTTGCCAAAACAAAAGATTGATACCCTTGGTTGTCCATAGCTACATCTAAATTGTGAAATCTGGAATGTACTTGTTCTGTCTACATGCTAACTGTAGCTCAGGAGGAAAAGAGTGCATGCTTCCTTACTTACATGCTGATTTCCAATATGAGGAAATAGTATAGCATGAACAGGGTAAGTATGTGATTGCTTTAGTGATTCTCCCAGCTTACCTGGGCTGGTACTGCAGTGTACACCACACAAGAATACTTTTGTTCCAAAGTTTATCAACTAGTAAGTAGCTCTAGACAGACATGTATAGAGCTATAAAAGGAGGTACTTATGTACACTGCAATCTTTGCATGTAACTTTTGTATGAAACCTCCCATTCAACAGTAGTTTCTTGGGGACTGGGGAGAAGACAGGTTAAGCACTTGAGAAATGGTTTTTACTGTACAGTAATTGGTATAGCCTGGTCAGCATGGAAGAAGGAAGGAAGGGAAAATGTTCTGAAAGCTGGTAACTACAGAGAATAGACACACTGAGCTGTTCATGCATGTCTCATGTTTATGAAAGCTGTTCACACGTGTCTTCTGGAGAACTTCAGAAAGCCTCTGATCCTGAGAGAAGGGTAACATGAGCCAACCAAGCCATCTGTCAGTCTTTGTCAGCTGACTGAACCATCTGGGTCTGGAAAGATGTCAGGCTTGTTCTTATTAGTTAAAACAGATACTGCAGGGTTGCAAAACGTAAAAGCTAGCTCTCTGAATGTGGAATTCTTTACTTTTGCTCAAGAAAATGCAGAGCATTTTTAGCTTTATCTAAAATAGAAAAGACAGGAAGGATATGGGTTTGGATTGGAAAAGACAGTACAAGAATAGTCTATTCTTGCATCTTCAACCGCACTTTATGCATGCTGCCTTTTTTCTTTCCTTCCTTATTGCTCATCTAATTATCACCTTTTTGCATACTCCTTGGCTTATGTTTATGAACCAATTAGTGCTGTGATAGTTAAGCAACTTTTAACATTTGTGTAGAGCATGTGTGAGGATAGAGTTAGATGAGATGGATGACCCAATCCTGAAGGGGGGTATTGATATTCTTTCCTGATAACTTCTCCAGGCTTCCAGCACCTCATTGTCAGCTGTGATGCTGTTAGATTTTTTGAATTTTTTGAACTGCCTCAAGTTGTGAATTCAACAGAAAGCTAATTGGTGAGGGGGAAGGTAGGGTTTTTTTTTATGGGGGATACATTAGACCATCAAAAGATTAGATGAATGACAAAGCTGATGTTAGCAAGGTAACGGAGCAATGGAACCTCTGCAGTAGTAAGCTCTTAAATCTTTGTGACCACCTTGCATGATATACCTTACTGCTTTTAATTATTTCCCTTCTTCAAGTAATTTCTTGTTACTTGTATCCTTCCTTTCCTCTACCACTTCTGATGCACGTATATGTGGGAGTTTTTTCCTTTCCATTATTTTACTTTTCCTCAGCTTTAGATACCCCTCCTCAACCCTGGTGAGGGATGTTTTGCTAACATCTAGAAGTAACAGCAGAATGACCAACCAGAAATGGAAGGAAAAAACGGGTCTTGTAGGCTTCTTGCTGTCTTTGGGATAAGGCAGAACCACCTTTACAGTAGGGATCTGCTGTGTGCCTTGGAGGGAATACTCATGCTTAGGAACACTTGCCTTGCTTAGAATCTAGAAATTCTTCACTGCAAATTACATCTAATTGTGAATACATCTAATTGTGCTGGCATATGTATTAAATGGTTTGTCTGCATAAAGTTCACATGCAATTAAAGGTTGCTTTGCCTGTTGCATTTAAGCAAAGATTTCATAAGAGCCAGGTTCACGTAAAGATACCTTAGAAGAGCCTTGTTGCTCATGAACACGTAAGAAGTAGAGGGTATTAAATTTCATGTAAGCACCAGCTTCAGCCAGGTGAAGTTGGTCCCTAATGACTGTGGGAAAGCTTAGCTTTATAAAGTGGAGAATAACTTACTTCACATTCATTTGCTTTTATGGCTGTTGCAGCTATTTCAGTTATAACATTCACTCAGGAATGTGCTCTTAATAAGCAGAAGTGCTCTACTGCAGCCCTGATAATGACAGGACAAATAGATTTGAAACCAGGGAATTATTTGTGGTTAATTGTTAATCTCCTGTTAGAATCACTGGAGGCTGAAATGCCAAGTGTCTGCTGAGGCTGTATACTAAATAGTCATGATATGCAAGTAAAAAATTCTGAAGCATTAGGATTTTGGTCTATGTGGAAGAGAGGGCAGCTGCTGCTTTTAGGTTATAAAGTTAGCATTGACATTGAAGTTCTGCTGTTAAAATATTGTTATTAGGACATAGGCTTTCCAGATCACTGCGTCTCCTGCTTAAATCACTAATGCATACTTTGCCCTTCAGCAACAGCTTAAAATGCAGCAGTCCTGAAGGGTCTGGTAACAAGTTGATCATGCTAAACAGATGCTAACTTTGCCTATTAAAAATAACACGGGACCTGGTCAGAGCAAAGTGTGCTGGGATAACTTAAAAATATGGTCAGGTTGCTCTGTTAGAAGGTCAGACAGTTTAACCATGTTGTAACAGATGCACTGTAATTAGGATTCTTAACAGTGCTGTGGTGGTGACTGGGTGCAAAAAATGCTTTAGAATACATTTAAATCTAGAACATCTTGCTTCTCTGCCTTTCCTGAGCTAGACTGGTGATAAAGTCAGCCAATTTCTTTTTGACCCTTTAATATCACAGCATTATAAAAGGCTTTTATATTTAAATCTCAAAATTTGTTTGTGTTTACTTTAGTTAAACCAGGCTTTTATGTCATGAGTCAGACCTTGTAGCCAGTTTAGTTAGTGAGCATAGTTTTGAGCAAACGTTCAGTAATCAAGTTTGAGACTTTGACCCTAATTTCAAAAAAACAGCAGGATTGACTTGAAGGGAACTGCCAATATTTCTGGAGATTGGGCAGGAAATGTAATGTCACATATCCAGACAGAATAGTGTGGGAATTTTTTACAGCTTAACCCCCTTGCTGTTTGCAATTTAAAATCTAGGTGATCATTAAGTACATCTTAAACTAACTGAGTTGCTGTGTTCTGTTGTAAGGAAAAACAAACCAATCAAACCTGCTCACTAAGACACATTTGGTCTGTTTGCCTTGGTCACATCAAGATTACCCACTTTCCTGTCACTGACAGTCTGTCAGGTTGAAAGAAAAGAGAAAATACTAGTGCAATTCTAATAGGAGAATGAAGCCTGTGTTCATGTCATGCTGTTCTAAAATGTGTATGCAGTACAACTCTTGATGTCTTTCAGATCAGAAGAATAACAATGTAAGCATAGCTGTGTTTATATTATGCTGTGTACATATAATCATGACCAGAAAAGAGAACGGCTGGCATGAGCAGCGAGTATTTCCTGTGCTGGTGAAATTATATCTGGTGTACAGGTGCCTGTAAAAGTGTAAAATTGCCAATTTAAAATAGGAATACTGCTTGGTTGAAGCTAAAATAATCTGAAATTTGGTGTTTATAATAAGATACAGATTTGTTGCATAAACAAACAAAAAAATCTATCGGAACATGCTAATGACCTATAGTGTGCTTGGAGTAGTATGGTGTTCTTCCAGAATCTGAAATGAGACAATCTGGAAAAGTCATGACAACTCATATGATTAAGTACCAGTATAATTATTTTAAAACCCCAATGAATATTTTCATCTTGGAGCCATAATTTCTTTCAAAGCAACTTCAGAAGCTTTCCTTTTCTTACATTGCAAACTAGTTGGCATCATTACAGTAAGGTTTCTAGCACAAATGATGTTAGTGTCTGAGAAGGGTTGTTAACATGATAAATGAGCACTGCTAGTTTGTAATGCAATATAGGTTTGGCATTGTCTTTTGTTTTATTTTGTGCCGTTAGTCATAAAGAAAACATGATTTTAAAAGTTGCATTTCAAAATTACCAAATGTCTTGCTGCAGAATTAGGATTCCAGTGATGTTTTACTGTGAATTCTTTTTAAGCAACTTCTTCTCTGACTGCAACTTTATGCTGACTGGTTGTGTTCTTGCTTTCCTTAGCCGTGAAGACTTCCAGCGGATTCCAGAGCTTGCCATCAATCCACTTGGAGACAGAATTATCAATGCCTTCTTTCCAGAAGGGTGAGTTTCAACAAACTGAATTTATGAGCAGGCACAAAATCTTCTGACAAACTACAAAATTTGTAGTTTGTCAGAAGATTTCATAGGAGTGAAATGCTGATAATTAAAGCACAGAATTTGAATTGACTAATAACTGAACACTTCAAACTTGTGAAAAATACTTTATGACTTTACAAAACTATTTTGTGCTTTATTTATTGACAAACTCAGTCTTCTGTCACAGTTTTTCACTCTTCTTCCTAAACTACTGAACACTTATGAAGAAATTCCGGGCTGTGTGTGGACTTTGGTTCTTAAAGCAAACTTGTATCAAGACTATTCTGTGTTCAGTAGTGTTACAATTAACTAATTTGGTCTTATTGTATCTGATATAGTAAATGTACCATTGTTATTAGATTGGCTTTTTTGGTTGGTTGATTTTAGGTTTTTATTACATTTAAGACAGATTATGACACTTCTAACAGAAATCCAAAGAGATTATCAAATTTTCAGTATTTTCTCTCTTCATTATACCTCTTGGGATTGTTCTATGGAATCTCTTGAACACAGTTGCTATTACTGATTAATGAAGCTTGGAATCAAGTCATATTATCAGCTAAAACCAGGCAGGGTTTAATGAACAGAAAGGCATCCTTGGAAGCACTTACATGGCTGGTTCCCAGAGAAACTAGAAAACTCTGTCAGAGAGCAGTGAGCAATGACAGCCCCACAGGCAGGGGCCAAGGATGCCAGCAAAGCTGGAAGGGGAGATGTACTGGCTGAAGAAGGGCACACAGCTGAACAGCAAAAGCAGAGCAGGCCCAGTGACTGCAGTCAGGTCAACCAACAGTCCGGTGCTTGGCAGTGCTGAAACTAGTATCAAGTCAATCCAGATCAGCGAGATACATTGCTACATTCACGTGTAGCAGCAGCATAGCTCAGGCATGGGTTAAGGGTGAGGGCTTCAGTTTAAGCAGACTTTGCAGGTCAGGGAAGGGGAGCCCTCGGTAAGATTTCTCACAGCTTCTGTTTTTTCACACATCATACTTTGTAACAGCATGATTCCAGCGTGTAACAGCACAGGCAGCCAAACCTTGCAGAGGTGGGAATGAAAGAGTTCACATGGTCTTGGTGCTTTGGATATTAATAGTCTTCTTTACTGAAATGAAGAGCTTGTATAAGGTATGCCAAAAACTGACCTGCTGAGTTCTTACACAGAGAGGACCAGGTGAATTTCCGTGGATTCATGAGGACACTAGCCCACTTCCGACCCATAGAAGATAATGAAAAGAGCAAAGACCAGAATGGACCAGAACCACTGAACAGCAGAAGTAACAAGCTCCACTGTAAGAAATATGAACCTTCCTATAGAATAAATTATTTTTCCATCTTCTTTTTGGTTGGGGTTTTTTTGTCCCCTTAGGAATGGAGGAAAGGGGCTTGGGATTTCCTGCACAGTTATTTCCTGTGGAATGATCTCTTCTAATGCCTGATGTTTTAAAAAGCTTACTTGGAACAGTATCTGTTCAGAATGTCAACAATTGAGCCATTGTTATTTTAGAATTTGATGGAATTAGGTAACTCTTGAGTAATATATATATTTTGCAAAATGTCTCATAACAGAAGTGTTTCAAAATTACTTGTATTCAAAATTATTTCAGATTTAGAAGCCACATCCCATACATGAATGAGCATTTATGCTTATTTCTTCAGTTCTTCCATATAATTCTACTTTTTTTTCCCCACCTTCAGCTGAGTACTTAAGTATTTGGATGTCTGCCTACAGTATATGAGCAGAATGCTCTTTCTTGCTAATCGAAGTTGGCAACAGTCCTCAGAGCTCTTAAAATGTGTCATATCTCATGCAGAATATAGTCAAAGAGAATGAATGATAATATAAAAATGGTTGGCTCTGAAATGAAAGGTCTCAATGTATCTTAGTGATAATTATTCTTATGTGACTTGAAGTTTTTAGGAAATACCCTGCAAGCAGAGTGCTTGTGAACATAAAATTTTTCCATTATTGGCAATAATGCTACTCCTGTGTGTGATAACAATACTTCATGGAACTGAACATGAGGTTTATGGTGAATTAAAATTCTAAGCTAATTCTCTTAAAATAATTTACAAGTACTTAGTTTTGTTGTTTTTCTTTTAGATACATCTATTGTTATTGTTTAGATAAATCTATTGTTATGAAGAAAAATAATGGCATTTAACTGCTCCTTCTTTCTTTCTTCCCTGTAGTTGCTTTTCGATTATATGATCTAGATAAAGATGACAAAATTTCCAGGGATGAGCTTCTCCAGGTAAATAGCACAGGGCTGCTTTGAGTGACTCAATCATGATGTTCTCTGTGACTTCACACCCACTTAGAAGAAGGGGGTTGCAACATTTTCTCAAAAGAACTGCTGGCGTAACGTGGTGGCTTTGCTTACCTCTGCCTTAAAGCTTTAGAAATAGTATGGGACTTCATTCTTACTTGGTAGGCTAGGCAGAGCCTGTTGCTGGTGACACCTAAACATTCAACAAATACACTAAACTCCTTAAAAACCACCTTCTGTAACTTGCAAAGGTGCTTCTAAAAGGATTTCAAAAGGACAGTCACTGAGGTGGATTAGGTTGTTTGCCTGATCCTCTGTGCATCCTCTGTACAGAATAAAACTTCTTGAAATGTCAGCAAAGGTAATCAAAGTTCATCAGTTCTGAATATGTATGAAACTAGGCTTGTGCTAGGAGTAATTACATGCTACTAATCCTGGGAAGTACACATGGCAATTTGTGGTTCCTGATGTAAGAAAAAGGTTTGTTTTTGCCTGGACCTGCCCTCTTCTATCCACTTAGAAAATGCTTTACTGAATGTGGAGGGTAATGGCACATGTCACTGGACCACGTACTTTCAACATTCCTGTAGACAAATATCTCAAACAGCAGATGTTCAGTCAAATGCTGGTATGTTTTCTGGGGGAAAAATTAGAAACATTGGACAAAATTACTCATTCCTAGGTCCAAAACTTTCTCTTGCTTCTGCCTCTTCCTGCTGCCTAGTGAAAAAGCAGGATTCTTTGTCTATGGTAACTATAAAATATACCTGTATTTCATGAAAGACTTAATGTGCAAAGGACAACAGAAGTCTGGCTAGAAATTGCTTCAGTGAAAATCTTGTGTGGTGTTATTTTGACAGTACATATAAAAGGAAAGCACTAAGAATACTTCTGTTGCTGTGTCAGTGATGGTTATTTTGTATGCTACAGGTATTACGGATGATGGTTGGTGTAAATATTTCTGATGAACAGTTGGGCAGCATTGCTGACAGGACAATCCAGGAAGCTGATCAAGATGGAGATAGTGCCATCTCCTTTGCAGAATTTGTGAAGGTTTGTAAACTATGGTTACATTAATGACTTAATGAAGCTGCTCAGTAATGAGCAAGTCATTCAGACAAACGCAAATGGGAACAGAGAGGAAGTCATTGAAATAGTCATGCCTGCATTTGGGCAAAGCCTTCTGCTAGCTTTTCCATCCCGTTATTAGTCATGTTTTGGGTTTGTTTTTATACTGCCAGGGTGTTAATAATTAGTCCACATGTTTCTTTATACTCTTAAATAAAGCTTACAGCCCTGAATATACTGAAGAACTTTCACTTTTTGTTTTGCAAATGCTTCTTTCTACACAGGTAACCTACTAGCACAGTTACAACAGATTAATTCTTCTGCTGTAATAGCACTGATCAGCTTTCACATGTAGATTTCATCTGTTAGCAACACAACTAATGCTGGTATTCAAGTTCCTAGCTCTGGTACTTTGAATTACGTGTTTTGATAGTCTGAAATCGGAAGCCATTTTAGATAGTCAGTGGAGAAAGTTATCCTGTAGCAGAACAATTTGAGCTACCTAATGGGATACTATTGACAAGAGAAACTAGACTTATCTTGGAGATGACAAAAAGGCAACAGAAACAAGTTGCAACATGGGAAATTGTGGTTTGCTCTAAGGAAAACTTTTTGCTAAGAGGATGGTCATAGCTTCTGAAAGATGTAGAAATTCCTTCCTTGGAGATACTTAAAACTTAACCAGGACAAAACCCTGAGCAATCTGATTTAGCAGGTACTGCTTTAAGTAGGAATTGAGGGATTGGACTGAAAGACTTCCAGAGGTCGCTTCGAACGTAAATTACTCTCATCTTGGAGCACTGAAGTCTACTACCTGAAAAGCCTGGAGCAGAGTAATATCTTCATGCCTCAGTGTTAACAGCAATTTAGTGAATGAACTTGCCACCCCAGTTTTACAATCATCTACATTAGTGGTGCTCTGGTCTTTTTTTGTTCAATGATTGCTCACATCCCTTTCTCTACTCCATTCTCCCTTGAGTTTCCTGGCTGGACATTACCACATAATTTAGTTTTTGGAAATCATTTTGGCCTTTCTGTGCTGTTGGGCAGACTGAAACCACATTAGTTACATTTTGATCAACAGCCTTCTTGCGGCTTTGATGGCTAAGTTCCTTCCCTTGGACAGACCTTAGCCCACAATGAGAAACAGCAGTCTCCATCTAGATAAAGGCCTGGCATGCTGAATTGAAGACATCCCATGTTCCTGCCCATTTCCTCACTACTAGAATAAGAAACCTTGTAGGAGAGATGTACAGTAACTGAAGTAGCTGTTTCTCAATTTTATTGCAGGTTTTGGAGAAGGTGGATGTAGAGCAGAAAATGAGCATTCGATTCCTTCACTGATGGATGGAGAGCCTATTCCTTTCTACTCCAACTATGTAATGAATAGAACTTCATTTTCTCCTTAGCACCATACCCCAGAGCATTGCTACTGGTGCATATACAATACATCTCCAACCCCTCCCTGATTTGTTCTACCAATGTGAACATTCCCTGTGCAACAGGAACAAAGGGAAATGGCTGCCATGCAACTTGGAAAAGGAGCTTTTTTAATCCTGTCCATCCTGGGGTTTTTGCCCTTTCTCTTGTCTCCTTCTGCACTACTGTTTCGGTAAAAATATCTCTCCTTAAACACTACTGTTTAATCTACAAACTGATTCTTCTGAGCTCTGAATCTGAGAATGGAAAAACAGGAATATGCCACAGAAGTGCCCTCTGCAATGTTTCAGAGACAAGCATCTACTCAAATACTAGGTGCATTGGTAATTATTCACTTTTGCCACATTACAGCTGCCTTTTTTAAAAAAAATATTGTTGCCCCTTTCCCATTTGGCTCTTTACATGCAGACTTGTTTCTTCAGTGCTTCTAAGTCTGCCTTTTACTTGAGAACTTCTCAACTTCTATGGCTTCTTGTACAACTAGCACAAATGCATGATGATAGCTAAGAGTACTTTAAAGTACTGTGAATAGATTTTGTTCTTTGTGGGATGAATTCACAGGGACAATAGTAGAATCTATGGTGGGGACAGGCTGTGGGATGAATTCACAGGGACAATAGTAGAATCTGTGGTGGGGACAGGCTGTGGTATTCTCAAAAGGAATAGGAAATCTGCACTATGTCACTTGAACTGTTCTAGCAGCAGAGGCAGAAACTTGTTTCTTTCCTTTGCATAGCTTGCAGGCTTGACAGCCGGTGGACTATGAAGTGTCTTCTCCAGATTGTTTTTGTCTAAGATCCCTCCCTTCCTCAGGGTGGTTTTGCTTCTGAAAGTGTAAATTTGTTTACCAGTGTACAAAATGCAAGAAAACCAGTCATGCTAAAATCTGGATTTGTAGTTCTGTTTTGCTCCCTGGTAACAGTGTCATGAAACACGAAATCGTGAAACTGATTTCATAGGGCTTTTTCCCAATTATAGTGGCCTGCATAATGAGTAACTATTTATATTTTCAAGTATGAAAGTCCTGGTCTGTTATATTTGTGTTCAGGGTGGTAGCTGTATATAAGAAAGCTCTGGATAAGAATACAATTTGGGAAAGATCATATTATCCCAGATTTTTCAGAATGTATTTCTATAAAAATCTCTCAAGTGTAAGATGATTAATACGACTAATGTAATGCTGATAAATTCAAGAGATCTGTATCCTCGAAGGTTCAGTAGTAACTATTTTCTGTGGCTAGATTGACATATGATCTCGTGTAGTTCAGCTGGAGCATTCCACAATCTGGGAGATACTTCCAATAAAACCAAAAAATCCTGGGGAGCTTGTTTATTGAAGAATCGGTGTTATAACTGCTTCTCTGTCGTGTGTTAACATTTCTATAAATACTTACCAGTCTCAAAACTACTGTTAAATGTGCATTTCCTTTTTTCTCAGTTTCTTCAGTCATCACTTTCGTTGAAAGATAACACGCAAGTCTCTGAAGGATTTTTGATTTGTTATAAATAAAGGAATTCAAAAGTAAAATGTTGCACTTCATAGTTTTGCAGAGTGCAGCACAGTTCTGGAAGGAAATGTAAATGAAAAAGCTCTACTCTGTATGAGAAAGAAACATTATACTTTTATAACTGCCTCATGTAAAATAGGAATGTAACAGTGCTAATGAAAAGTAAAAATTGCTTGTAGGCTTTGTGATTTGCTTAGAGGTAGGTGTTGCTGTCTTCTGACGCTATAGCTGTAACCTACAGTTGTGCCTTACTGTCCCAGTGAGACTGGATATTGTATTTATCAATCCATAAATAAACCTTCACTGTATAAACAAAAACCAAAACCAAACCATCCCCCAGCTCTTCTTGTAGGGCAACCAACTATCCTTTAATTACTGGATAAAGCTAAATACCAGTAAAAGAATGGTGCTAGCAGGTTTTACAGATCAGTTTCCTATAACTGATAGAGTGTTATTTATTTTCAGAGATTGATAATCCTTTATTCTGCTGGCAAACCAGTGCAAAACATGAGCTGCAGAAGAGGACACGCAAGGCTCGTTTGTGACATTTGTTCCTACAAGCTCCCACCTCAGATATTTTTGCTAATGTGCTTGAAGGTGAACACAAATGATCTAACAGATGTACTGCAAAAAAAAAAAAACCCTCATAACACAATCGATCAAAGAACAACCAAACTTGCTACAATAAAAAAAAAAGATTTTCAACTATCAGTATCTAACTTTGCCATTAGCAGAATAAATCACATGCAAATAAATATCTTACTCAATATTCTGAAAACTGTATATATAACATACAGTTTAAAAGGTGGTGGACAGAAAGAGGTGTTTTAGAGACTGAGATCTTAAATTTGTTAAATTTAACTAAGCTGTACAGATACAAGCAAATTTCCACTAAAGTAGTATTTTTACCATACCTGGTTGCTTATAAAAGTGTTTTGTCTTGAGAAAGGTCATCTTGAAGGTGAACATGATGGCAGCTCAGAGATGGAGCTGCTTAATATTTCATCTTTGTCTTTTGAAAAAGTAGTACAAGGGATAGGATTTTAAATAGAGGTGAGCCATTCTCCACTCTACTGAGGGATAGTCTCTTCAAATCTGCAGCCATGAGTTTGAGACTGGCTGGAGGCTTGACTGCCAAAATATGTGGTTGCAACAGGTTACCAGAGTATTGTGAAGAAAGCAGAAATAGGTTTGATATCTAATCAGTACTGAAACCTGTAGGCCCCTTAGCTTGGCAACAAACAGGAAAAGAAAAGAATCCAAATAAAGGATTTGACTCACGAAGAGCAGGGGTAAAAATTATGTTCTGTAACTGTACAATGGAACATAAGAACCTGCTTTTGGTTTCTTTGAATGTGGAGCTTTGGTTGTAAATAGAATGTGGGTATAATATTGGAGTTAGCAAAAGCGTTTCATTGCAGTCTGCTCTAAAACGTGACGCGGCAGAAAAGCGTTGTATTAAATGTTTGAACACACGTGTAAAGATTTGGAGTGAAATAGTTTGTAGTGATCTGGGATGAATCATGGTGAGACGGGGGTGTTTCTCGACAGTTTTCTGAATGGGTACGTACTCCTCTTCACACTCTTCAATGCATCCACCCAGCAGCTAGAAGTGCAAAATTACCGCTGCTAAAAAAAAATTATTATTAAAAAAAAAAAAAAGCAGATGACAGAAACCCGGCCGAATGGCGGAAGGCAGAAGGACTGAAGGCCGCCTTTGGGAGCAACCACGATGCTCGGTGAGCTCAGCAGGTGCTGTAGGGCCGCCGGACCGCGACCCTCCCCGGCCGGCTGTGCGGGCGGCTGCTCAGCCCGGCCGCCCTTGCGGAGCGGCCCCTTTAAATCGCCGTGGAGGTCACCGCAGGACTCGCCCCGGGCCAGTCCCGCTCGCGCCGCCCGAGCCAATCCCTTCGCTGTGCCCTGCCCGGGGCCAATCCGAGCGGGCCGCCTTGGAGGCGGGAGGCCAGTCCCGTGATGGACGGCGCTGCTGGCCAATCGTCGCCAATACCGAAGGGCTGATGCACGGGCACGGCACCCAATAGGCTCGCGGTCGAGTGGGCGGGCCCGGGCGCAGCGAGCCCCCGCCGGGAGGCCGGGGGAAGGAGGGGAAGATGGCGGAGTGAGGGGCGGAGGAGGCGGAGTGGCCGGGCCGGCCGCGGCCCCGCGGCTTCGGCCGCGCTCAGGTGAGTGCGGCGGGAGCAGCGGCCGCAGCCAGGCCGGAGCCTGGTGCCGGATCCCTGATCGGGCTGGGACCGAGCGCCCGCGCACCCGCCTCCCCGTCCTGCCCCGTGATTGGGCTGGGCCCGGGCTCGGGCTCGGGCTCGGGCTCGTTCCCGCGGCGCCGGGCCGGAGCAGTGGGAGCGGCTGGCCGCCCTCGCCGCGCCGGCCCCGAGCGAGGAGCCGGCCGGTGTCCGTGTGGGGACGGACGGCAGCCGCAGCCGGGCCGGTGCTACCCGCTCGCCGCCCTGAAAAGTCTGAGCAACTTCGGCGCTGGCTCCGGGCTGCCGCAGATGGCCGAGCGGAGAGGCTGCTCCCTGCACTGCGATACCCCGCAGCCCGCTGCGCACGGCTGCGGCCGGCAGCGACCTGCGGGAGGGAAGGCGACATGTGTCATCCGAAATGAGGCTTCGCATGTCTGGCTACGAGCATAGCGCCGAATACTGCTACGCTGCTGTTACCGTTCTTATTCATGCCATGTGTGGGCTGGATGAATTCTGCTAATCTGAATGGTTCCATCCTTTTGTGATGTCTGTAGTGCTGACACAGGAGTGCACAAAAGGGATGGCTTCCTAGTTGTTTGACAAAACCAGAAGGTACAAAAATCTGCCCTGCAAAATAAGTTCAATGGAAAGTGGAGAGATTATGGAATTTGATTTAGCTTTATAAATTCATGTTGATAATAAGGTAAAAAGAATTTAAGACACCATGAAACACGTGAAGTTTATTGCTAAACTATCTTCTTTCCAAGTTAGTAGCATGCAGGCCAGGTATGCCCTGAATTCTTCAAAATTGTCAGTGGTATTTTGTGCTGGAGAATGATACTTAGTTTAAATTTGAAGGAAAAAAAAAAAAGGGAGGATCAACAGTTCTTACTGAAAGGAAAATAATTAGTGTCACTGGCATGAGATTCCTTGTGTTCTGTATTTGATAGCAGTTCTTAAAATCTCGAGTTCGTCCTAGAGTTGTGACTGCATTTTCAATCTGCAAGTCAGGTAAAAGAAATAAGTTCAAGTGGTTAAATGAGAAGCATCGCTTTAGATTTTGTGGAGACATGGTGTGTTTGCACACATGACCTAATAATGAGGTAGTTCTTTGTAACTGGTGAAATAACTCAAATATAAGCATGTCTTATAATTAGTCCTGAAAGCAGTAGCTGCTTAGGAGGAAAATTTCTTACAGAACATTTTGCTGATTTTCGTGTGCAACATTACTCATGTAGTAACAGTAATAGCAGCTTAGGAGCAAGGTAACATTAAGACACAGTATGCTGCTACTGATGAATATTCCTACTTATATATGTCTGTGCATGAACTTTTTAAATATGCTAGGAGATTTGTCTTTGGCATACTATATATAAAGAAGAGTCTGGAATATCACTTGAACACTTCCCCATGTTCATTCTTAAAAACTAAAAAAGGAGCAGTGTTTGAAACCAGTCCTGACATGCCAGAGTTTATGTGAGTGCGAGATGCAAAACCTTCACAGTCTTCAGGGGATTGTAAAAAAGAGGATTTTTGTAAAATAGAGTGTGGAAGAAGGTTGTTTCTTTGCCTGAACAGTATTCTAGAGCATATTCCTACAGAGTGTGTGTCACAGAATTGAAAGCTCATCTCTAAGCAGTTTTCCCTGTTTTCTCTGCTGTGGTACGAAGTACTGTTAAAATATTGTACCAACAATGAAGTGCAGGTGCATTGGAAACCTGGTAAAGGAGGAAAAGGGTTTTATTTAAAAATACACAGTGAAACAAAAAAATTAAGGTGGAGTGTGTATGGTGTCTCTACAGCAGCCAAGCACCTGCTATGGATCCAACAGACTGGCAGTCTGTGCATTAAGGTGGAGTGTGTATGGTGTCTCTACAGCAGCCAAGCACCATAGCAGCATGCTATGGATCCAACAGACTGTGTTGGCAGGGAACATCAGGTCCTTACTGTCTCCTGGCCTCTTCCTAGGCTGGCAACCATTCTAGGCTTCAGATGTGCCTTTGTGTGCCCTTTTGGAGGGGACATTGCCCTGTGTCTCTGCATTGTCCCGACTCTGTGGGTTATCAGTGTTGTTTCCAGATCTGGGCGTCTTCTGACGTGGCCGGGAGTGCGAGCTGCTAACCTGGGTGCTGCTAATGGAAGCCCCTTAGAGCCCAGTTCCTGCTCACTGTTACATTTGGTGCCTGCACACTCAGGCACTTTCTCCAGTCACACCAATCTTAGACTTTCTTTTACAAGTTCCCACTTTTGCCTTATAGCTTGGTTTTAGATGCCTAGTTCAAAGTTGCCTAGAAAGCAAAAAGAGCATTAAATCAGCTAATTTTTTACAGGACTGTAAGCTACTTTCTGTTGTATTTGTGTTTGTAGTTGTCCACTTTCCAGGTTAAATTTGGCAGTTTTTAAGCCATAGGGAAAACCATAGTGTATTTGTGTAGGACTGGTTTTGCTTTCCATATCTCCATCGGTCTACACTGTACTTCCAATTTTTTGTGTTTTGGTCTTTCTATATTAACCTGTTTCTAGATATTTCCTTCCTTACTTCCTCATTCTTCTCAGGCTCCAGGCAAGAGATGAGGATTCATCTTCTGAGTCCTTTTGGTTCTGCTCATTTCCTGGAGGATTTGTGCCTGTGTAAGAGTCAAAGATAGTGTTTTGGAAAGCTAGATATGATGGACCTCAGTTTTTGTTGTACCTTAAAACAGAGCATGGAGGGTGGAGTGAAGGTTGGTTGCATAGCTGTATTCTCTTAATATAGTCTCCAATTCCAGTGGAGATTATTCCATTCCACTCCAATTCCATTCTGACTTTTGTGGGTTTTATTTTGCCATACTGGTGGATTGGTAATAGAGTATGTTAATTTATATGAGAATACAAATATTGCAGTTTTGCTGGTAAATTTATTTGTGAGATACTCCTTCACCTCTTTTTGGCTTTGGAATTCTTGAAGTTACCGAACTTCTTCGATACAGGCACCTATCTGAATGTGAGATTTGAAGTTCATGGAATCCAATCTCTAGTTATGGTAGAGCGAAAAAATTAATGGGCAATAGGTCAAGACTTAATGAAAATAATACATTCTGAATTTTTAACAAAGAAGGAGTCATGTAGGCAGTGTTGAGCTGTCACAGTTATTTCTTGCTCCACATCAATTGATTGTACGTTCAGTACGGTATGAAACAAGAAAAATGGCATTTTTTTCTTTGTAATGTCCACTAGCTTTTATCTGAAGAGTTCATAGTGTCACCATCAGTCTCAGTGCCTGCTCATTTTCAGTAACGTTGGTATATATCCAGTTTTATTTGCAAGTTCTCTTGGACTACTGTGAACTCTGCCCACGTAATTGATGAAAGTCAGCTAGAGAGTGTATCAAGCAGAGTAGTTAAAAACTGGGGCATTCAAAGTCAGTGAACTTGTTAAAAATAAAAAAGTAGGTTAGAGCTAACTGAATTTCAGTGTTGGATGAACCATTCCTTTGCTTGAGTTGCTTTAAATGTCACCAGCTGCATTCTTTTTTAATAAGACTTACTTTAGTGTTTAATGTTTTAAACACATTTTAGTGTTTAGTTTAGTTAATTCATAGTCTTAGTGAAAGAAGAACTAGCTTTTCAAATGTTGAATTGGTTTCTACTATGACAAGGCAGTTTGGGATTATTACCAATTAATTACCAATCCTGGTAACTGTTCCTTTTTAAGTTAATTCTTTTGTGAAGCATTTGCTGTTAATTCCTTAATGTCTCAAAATCACATAATGGTTGGCTGGTTCTTGAGGGAAAATTTGAGTAGGAAGGGTCAGAACTGACAACATGGGAAGGAAGTAACTACCCTGAAATAAGGGTTGTCTGATGGCTGGGGATTTCCTGAAGGTCCAGGTGCATGGTGCTTTTAGAAATGCTGTGTTGTACAGGAGTGTGGCAGGTAATAATACTTTGCTGAGGAATTTTGAATAATTTAGGTTCTGTGTGATGAGATAGTTCTGCTTATAGCAGTCTGTTTTTCTTCCAGTTAGGCTGTCAGCTGAGCATCCTCACTGCAGTAGTTTGTTATTAACGTGAAAGAGTTTCTTGCCTTAGTGGAGACTGAATATGTGTCCATCTCAGGTCCCATGAAACTTAAATGTGTGCCTCCAATTATTTAAAGTTTGTGTGTCCTGGCTTTTCCACACTTGGGTCCAGTTCTCTTGATTTAAACTAAAAGAGGGGGTATATCTGATAATTCGAAAAATAACATCAGCATGTTTTATGTAGGAAGCTTAAAAATGTTACCTGGTTCATAGAAGGTACAGCTCATCTTTTGTGCCTTGTGCAGATAATCATGTATGATCTGAGCTGCTTCCTAGATGCAAATTTAATTTTGTTTGTTCATCTCTTTCTTTCTAAGCTCACTGAAGAGGATGTGGAATGATCAAAAATAATGGTGAGTACAACTGGGAGGTTATGTAGGTACTAAATGTAAGGTACTAAACCAAGTTTGGCAGCTGATTTAGTTCCCTTTTCCCTGCCCTAAGAAATCCATAATTGAGATTTTAATTTTTTGTAGTGTGCTTTCAGAGAACTGGAATGTTGCCACAGTGTCAGATTTCAGCTTGGGCTTCACCTTAAAGAAATATTGATTTGACTATTATATATTCTAACAAGAATAAATGCTTTGAAAGTTATAAAATCCCTGTCCTGTGATGTCATTTGCTCTGCTAAGACAACTTGTATTAACTTGGAATAGTTATGTTAAAAGTGTTATTTGTTAAGTGATAGGATTGGAAGGATGATAAAATAACCAAATGTAAATTATAGAAATGTAAAAATAGAAAAAAATACATTCAGAATTTCTAAGATTACAATAATCTTCTGTAGTTTTGATTTATTTTTTCCCAGTGAATGAAATAAAGATACTATGGTAGTTAAGGTGTGCAGCAAAGGGCTGTATTCTGTTCTCAGCTCTGTCACAAACTTTTGGCATGTTTAATTGCAGCTCTCCAGGTCTGTTTTTCCACATCTTCATAAGAATAAGACTTTCCCAACAGTCTGAGTGTCGATGGTCAACAATGATCAGCTGAAATATTTGAGTGACTCAAGAGAGATATCGATAGTGACATGTACTAGATTTCCATTTTCACGGTCTACTCACTGCTTCTAATGTAGGAGCTGAAAATTGTCACTGGAAGACTATTTCTGGACTTGATCAACGGAATGGCTAAGAGGTAATTAAAATAAGAAATACAGACAGGGAAAAGAGAGGAAGAGGTTAGTTGTTCTCACGTTCTTGTATATGAGAACGATTTTTTTTTTCCTTTTTTTCCTCTATTTTGGATCTCTTACTTTAGCACAAGAGAATGGTAATAAACATTCTGGCAATAGCGATGCAGGAGTGCACCCATGCTAGCTTCCAGCTTAATGCAAAAATATCAGTCTTAACAGCTGCTGTAACTAGGTAGTACCAGGTGAGTATCACTGATGGAAGGCCAGGAGATCTGAAAAGATGAGTTACTGAAATTTGTCTATGCTGTGGATAAGTGGGGAGAAATGAGTAAAAGTACGAAGCTAATGCATGTGATCCTAAACCTGTTGTAAGTGCTCTTTTCCTCTCCAGCACTGACAGTTTCATAATTAGCTGAGTGGTAGTTTATGATGTCTCTTTGAGCTGTGACCTGCTAGAGCAGAGCACGTACACTCTGTGCCATGTGCACTCTGCTGCTGCCTCGTCATTGTCATCTCTGTGCTGGAGACACGGCTGAAGCCCCACAGCTAATTAACAGTGCTGTATTTTTAGCTGCATCACTTCTGAGTAAGCGTACAGTTCAGCATTTCTGAAATGTTTCCTTAGCCAGCTTGTGGACATCTAAAGTTAGATACAGAATCTTACAGACCAAGGGATTATTGCAGTTTGTGAAACCAGATAATTCTATCCATTAGAGTCAGGCTTTTAAAGTAGTGAACTGGTGGGCATTTTAACGTTGATTGTATTTTATTCTGATTCCTAAACTACCTTCCTTGTTTTTTTAATTTGGAATTCCAGATCCCCTCCTAAGAAGGTGGTCCTCTTACTTGCTCAAAGGCTATGAAATGTGGATATTTCTCTTCTAGCAAGCAAAACCCGTCCTTCATTTCCATGGAGCTGAATGAACAAAGGTCTGTTCACTTCTGTTTGAATCATCTCACCAAACATTTGATTCACCAGATGACTTCCCCCACGGAAGAAGCCCACTGTTTTATCAAAACTCAGAAGCAGAGTAACAGAAATCAACATTTGTTTTCCTGAAAAAATGTCTTCTGTGCCAGCTTTTCATTCAGCTTTCTGCATTCCGTTTTAAAACGAAAAATACTTTGTAATCAGATATAAGCAGAAGCTGGTGTTTTTCACTGGTATTTCCTTCTTAACTTTAGGAAGGTTAAGTACTTTGCTGTGTCAAATTGGAATTCCTAGCAGACAAAGCGTCTACATGCATTGCTGTGTCAGACTGACCTGATATATATGAAAAGTTGCAGCAGGAAAACCAGAATGTTTTCTGCTCTGACATGAGGAAGAAGCTTACCAAACAACTAGGGGCATCTCATACAGGTATTTTCCAGTCCAGGTCCCAGGCCTGACTTTGTAGATAGGTGTGAACTCACATGACACAGCTAATGCACAAGAACAAATACAGAATCACCTTGTCCATGCTGTGTGTCCCAGGCTATGATCAAAATGTGTATTTGCATGTGTGGACCTCTGTAAGTGCAGGATATGAAGAGCTTTCACCTGAAGAAGAAATTACTCTGCACCATTTCATTTTTAGCAAAGAAAAATGAACCTTTGAAGGCCTCTGGGGTAACAGGATAATGACTAGGTTTGCATTATATCATTACCTTCCTCAGGCTTTTAATGAATCCTTAGCATCAAAAGGAACAAGACCATTCTACAGTAGAAGAGATGGGCAGAACATCTTTCTTTATTCTAGAAATTAACTTCTTATGGGATTGAAGAGACCAGAGCTGTAAAGTCGCAGTTTCTCTACCTGGCTTCCTCAACACAATTTCAGCTTTTCCTACTGCTGATGAAATCTCATTTTTTGATTCTTTCATGCCTGAGAGGACCTGTATGTTTCCTCCATCTAGGTAGAAATAGGCCCAAGAAAATGGAATGTTAGCCACGTAAGAGGGGTGAGTTGAGAGCAGAAATACCTAGTTCAGTCCTTTTTCTGGCTCTTCTTATTCCTTCCCAAACTAAGGCACAATCTGGTTGTTCTCATGTTTACACAAGATTCTTTGTCTATGTAATTTGTGATTATATAGGATTTTTTCTGTCATTCTGGGATGGGAGCATATATTGTTTACGTGCTCCCTACTATGGGATTATCTATAATAAGTAAGGTTTTTGGCAAAAAACTACCAGAACTGGGATATGTATTATATTCCATCTCAAATCTGAAACTCTTTTTAGTGCACCTTATTCCAAGCTTGTGATTTAGAAATGTGGCTTGCTAGCTTAAAGTATGGGAGATACTAAAATGGTTGGGGAAGTGTTCTAGATTTCTTGTTCTATTTTTCCTTTTAGAAAACTGCTGGAGAGAGCCAGACAGCCTGAAAATAGCTGAAAAAGCAAACAATTGAAATCCTTCTTAAATCTTGGTGATTGATTGCCAGGGCAGCATTCTAGTATCAAAAATGTGACATTTTATGGGACCAAGTTCCATAGCAGAGTGAGGACAAGTGTTGATGTTGATCCTAATTGTCCAAGTAATGTCTGTGTTTAGACTTGTTTTGTAACAATAGGATTTAATGACAGCTTTACCCGTTTTGTGTTTCCATGAAGCAAAGAGCAGACATGTAAGCTTTAAGAGTGGTGGGCAGGGCGCTGCATATCAAGTAATGCCAACTTTAATGAGCAGAGAGGTGCTCTAAAATTGTGTGTAACATTGTGGTGAGCTGTGTGACAAGAGTTAACATTGAGCTTGATGAGGCAACCACCTGCTTGGCCTGACTTTGCTGAATATGGTCTGAACTTTCTGGCATTGGAGGCAGCTAAAAAAGCACACTTTGTTTTAGGGCCTCCTTATGTTGAAGTCAATAGGATTTAATGGAGATGTCTGTAGAAGCAGGATCCATCTCTAAGTGATGGAAAATACTGTCAATATCATAGGATTACAGTGGTTGGGAAGTATGTGGTATAAGAAATGTCTGATTTTAGATCTGGGAATTTTCTTCCTTCTGCCCATACTTACCCCTCTGATGTTAGAGATAGCAGTTGTTTCTTGCACAGCTTGATGACAAGACAGGAAGGTATTTTTGTTTTCTGTGGACATGTACAAAAATTGCAAATTTGCCTGACTAGAGAGCTGATAATCTAAGCTCCTTAAACTCATTATTTTGTTACCTGGCATTGTAACAAAAAAGTAGAATTACTGATTTTTTTCCTAACTCCTATTCATGACAGTGTAGCAGCGTTAGTTTTTGAGTTTAATTTTAGAACATCAGGATTTTCCTAGATAAAGGATCTGCGGCTTTGACAGAAGTAATACTCCAACAGTGCATGCCCACAAGACCCCCTTGGTGTACCTTCCTGGCCAGCACCTTTAAAGAGCTGCTGTGTTTGGAAATGCTGCTTCATCTGACTCACTCTTCCTTGCTCCGCTTTTTCTTTGTGTTGGTTGGAAATCTTCCCATGTGAAAGATTACAAAAACAAGGGGCATGTGCAATAGCTCATATATATATATATACATATATATATTTTAATACTTGTGGACAAAATGATGTTACAAGTTGTTTGAAAACAACAAAATCACCAATGTCTTCCATTTTGAGATGTGTATAGTTCCATAAGCATTAGTGCTTTGTAGCAAACTGTAGTGCCATGTTAGGACCAGTGCATGAGCCTAGTAGTATTTTTACAATTTCTGAGTGACAAATTTATTAGTAAACAGTGATGATAATGTAATTAACACTAGAAAGGATACAATAGGAATGTCACAAACGTGGTCTAAACATGCAGTATCCTCCCTTTGACAATGGCAATGCTATCCTTAGAAATGGAACTCATTCACTTAATGGGCTTCATAGAATCATAGTTGACTTTTTGATATTTGTCTGTCTGTCCAACTGCAGTAGTAAGCTAGAGTATGCAAGTATCCATAATTCTCATCCCTATCAGTGTGATTCTTTTCTTTTAAATCTTTGTTGTTTTCTTCCATTTTCAACTTTATTGAACCATCTATTACCCATCCTGTCATATACTCACAAAAGTATGAATATGCTAAGGAGTTTGTGTGCATTGTGTACACATCTCTTACCTTCAGATAATTTACAAAGTCTGTTAAGTAATCTTGTCTCTTTTTCACATCTGACTCTATGATTGTTATAGCTAGCAAAACATTATCCTCATTGTGTGATAAGTTAATAGTTGCAAAATGTGATGTGCTAATTATGCATAGAAGACTTTCCTCCATTACTGCAGGAATGGGGAACCTTTTTTGGCTGAAATTCTATTGAATCTTAAAATAACTTTGGTGGATCCTGCATTTACATACATCTTAGTAAGAGAGAATACATGAAAGTCAAAGGCTGTTGGAAAATGATGTTGCAAGCTGTATCTGTGCAGCAGGCTGTCTCTAGCCAATGGATCAGAGATTCCCCACCCCTGTATTATTGAGAATTCAGTATCTTCTGTTTTAGGTAACTTCCAGTTTTGCTTTCCAGCTCTAAGCTCAATTTTAATGATTTCTGTCTCTCCCTCTGTTTTTTTCAGAAGGAAAGTTTAGACCAGGGAAGTAAAATTGATTTAGCACTCAATGGACAGCTTGGACTGGTCGAATAGGAGACTGGTATGATTCTTGAGATGTGCATTGCTCTGTGGATGGCATCCTCTGATTTCCTAGGAATAAGTCTTTTATTTGATGCCAGTGCTGCTCTTCACCCATTTCTCTCTTTCAGCTTAGAGAGGATACTGCATCTTTTTTTCCTGAGACCTGCCTGTAAATGGCCATTAGGGGGAGGGAGGGAATGGGTAGCTTGGTTTTGTAATTTTGGTACGATATATCTTTAAAGTAATTAATCAAGAAGCATGTACTTCAGTGCAATGACAGTAATCCAGGCAGAGTTAATGTATGTAACAGGGAAAAAAAAAACCCAACAAAACCAACCAAACAACCCTCTGCATCTAATAAATTTCTGAGAAAATTGGACAGGTGGGCCATTTACAGCAGAGCTCTGGGGGACCTGTGCTAAGAGTCAGGTTCAATTCTAAATGGACATAGCTGTACCATTGAATAAAGTAGTTTAGTGCTTGGGAGAATCAATTGAAAAATACCTCTGAAACTGGAATGCAAAATAGCACAGTATGTAGGGGGAAGAATCCCTGATGCAAACAAAGCCATAAGATGATTTATTAAGAAAATAGAACTTTAGTAGCAATAACTGTTTTGCATGTGATAGTAAATAACTTGCATTAGCAAGACTGTACAGTAGAGTAAGTGGGTAATAACCAAATAAGTTTGTGGCGCTCTGTGCTGCAGGGAGTTGTGTGAAGAGTCTTCCTGAGAAGAAGGGTGAATTCTTCTTATGTTCCTCTCATTGGAGGGAATTTGGCACTTGAATACTAAGTTAATGAACTTGATATATATATTAAAAAAAGAAAAGAAAAATTAGCTTTGCCACATGTCTGAAGCACTGTCAGTGAGTGCTGGGGGAAGGGCAGACAGTTCTCTTTGAAAGGATAGCTGAAGTTTTTCTTTCTCTGTAGCCTAGTACTTGCTCTATTTCTCTGAGAAACTAAACTTTTCCAAATACTGTACTGTGAAGAGAACCTGATTCTAAAGTGAGAAGTTTTTGTGGTGGGAAGTGATTTTTGTTTTCTTTCTTTATCAAGACCAATCTGAGGTAGTCTTTAAATAAAAAAAAACTGAAAACATTAGAGAGCACTTGACCCTCAAAACATTTGTGCATGCCAAGCACAACTGTAGAATTCTAAAGATGCTACAACAGAAAATGATTTCGGCTTTGCTAAACACTGTTTCAGACCACAATTGATTTCAGTTGATGCCTGAAGTTTTGCAGAGGAAAGTACTGTGAAGCCTCTGGTAACACAAAGGGTTATTGATCTTTACCTGTAGATCTACATCCAAAAAATTATTTGCCATCAAAGGGTTGCATAAAAGAGCCACAGGAGTTCTAAACTGTTCCTAGTTGACACTTTTCAGTGTAGATACCTCATCAATGGACACAGTGAGCCCCAACATATAGTAGTGTATTCTGAACAGAATCAGAGGTTTAGATCAGTCTGGCTGCATTTCTTCTGCAAAGCTGAAGTAATTTAGTCTGTTAAGCTTCCAGCTTAATGGAAGCTTCTTGTGTTTTTAAAGCATGGGGGTGAAGCACTTTGGTTCTTCATAAATGGATAGTGGAACTGTGAGGGCTGTGAGCATTTTTGCAGTATAAAGGAACAGGATAAGCATGAGACTGTCTAAATTAAGTGTTGGCTAATATGTAATATGCTTATGAAAACTAATTGATCTGAAAGATTATAATCAGCTTAAATTCCAACTGTTGATTTTTTGATAAAATTGGAAGCTGGCCATAGGGGACCTTTATTTGATTGCTCTCTGATTACATCAGAGAAATTATGAAATCTGTGATCAGCAAGTACATTTACATAATAATGAAATTATAATGAAAACAAAGTCATATTCATGCTTCAGAAGTATGAACTTTGTGGCTGAACAGAATTATTCTAGGGTATATCCACTCAGAACAGAGGGGAGGAAATAAAGACTGATGTAGCCAGGCAAGCTATCTACATATACTTCCCAGTTCAGGCTTTTAGTAAGGATCTGAATTCTGTGGGTTGCTGACTAGGAATTACTATTCACAGCAACAAAAGGAATCCCTTTGCCTTTCAGCTCTTGTACTATGGCATGACTTTTGCTTCAGCCTCCTTGCTTTAACAGCTTCTAAACTGAAGTGGAAGTGTCAGGTGCTGCCACTCTTGAGTGTGGTATATCAAAAGGTATAATGACCAGTATGGACATGCCTCCTTTAGCAGTACTAAACCCAGATGATACAAATATGTTCTGTTTGTATATCCAGTAGTGCTGCTGCAGAAGGTCTAGCCAGTACTTGTGTTGGGAATTGTACCTTCTGAAACTGAGGGTATTTGTCAAATTGATGAGAAAAAATAAAGTCTTGCAAAGACTTCTTGATAGTAAGTCAGAAGAAATTGTACTGAGCTTGAGGATACTGACACTTTACATGAGGATTACATTGTCAGGAACTGGCAGTCTGGCTTTTTGGGGGGCAGAAAAGGAAAAAATATTGAAGGTAGAACTATAACAAGTCTTAGAAATTAGTGCTTCTTGCATCCTTAGGAAACTGGCTGGTCTTCCTCCAAAACTAATATTCCTGCTTGCTGATCAGGTACAGAGCTTCAAAATGACAGTTCAAGTTACATTCCATTGGATTTCTTTCGTGGAACGATCCGGCATTTTGCCCCTGTAGCACTTTGACTGGCGCACAAAAGCCAACAGTTGAATCAGGGTGTCTTGTTCAACAGTGCAGAACACTAACCATGGATTCTGATGTCTGTTCCCTTTCAATCTCTACACTTCCTCCTGCATTTTAGAGAAAGTGTCAGTGTTCATGATGTCAGCAGAGCACGTTTCTGTCTCTGAGCCTATGTACCGGGTTATAAATAGACAAACTCGCAAGACTTTTACCCCAGCTAAAGTTAAAGATAGAAGGTAACTTTCTGTTCAGTGTGTCCTATGTAAATCCTGTCTGCTTCTCTCCACTTCCCCTCCAAATGAGTGTGTTTGCAGGTCAAATAAAAGGCAGGTAGTTTGTAATGCCTTAGGCATGAAGAACTGCATGGAGAAACTGAAGGAAAGCGGCACAGGCCCACAAACCAAATCTTAGAGCTAGTATTCTAATTATGCATGATTCAAAATGTCTAGTGTAATGTAGTTATTACCAGTAAATTGAGATATGCATTTATACATAATGAAGCAATAGGAATTAATATACCAATAGCTTGAACTTCCTGCTTTGATTCTCAAATTTTGGGTTTTTTTAGAGAATGTGCTGCCTCTGTAGAGAAGGGGGCAGAATGTATAGATAGGGACAGAAGCATGGCACCAAAACTGTAAATTGGGACCCGGGATCAGCAGAGCTCGCCTTTATAACCTCTAGTCTGGTTCATATCACTGTCCTGAGCATGTGAAAAGCAGGGCATGAACTAAGCATGTTTAGAGGCGAGATGAGGTTTCTCACCTGCTGCAGCTGTAGCAAGGAAAAGGGTGCAGAGTTTCTTACATGGTGCAGGGGAGCGACTGGTGGGAAGGAAAAAAACCAAACCCACAAAAAAATCACCCCAAAACCCAAGCTGACAAATGAGTAACAGAAACCACAGACTCAAATTGAGTGTAGTATTTGCCAGACAGTAGGTAATAAGCTTGAGTGTGGTGAGAGAAATTATTTGGAGAATACTGAAATTAATAAGCACAGTACATATTTTTCAGGTGTTGAATAGCTTTTTAAGAGACAGTATTTTCAGGTAACTCTAGCCACATAGGCAGCTGTACTGAAGCATACTGGTACCAGCCAGCAATAATGGCATCTGCAGGAATGAACCTGAAAATACTGGTAATCTTGTATATTTTTTAAGTTCTTTAAAGAGATTTTTAAAAACAGAAAATGAGATTTGATCACTGAAGGTCTTTATCTTCTGCAACAGAGGTTGCAATTGTCTTTTTTTCTTTATTTCACTTACTAGATAAAAGGGAATTTGGGTGCCATCTTTCTGTAAACTCTTAGTGTGTTCTCTGTAATTCAAGTCTCTTAGTGGATAATACAGTCAATTTCTGCTGACAGTTTGAAAATAAGAGAATATGTGGCATAGCCTACATCTCTAATACTTTTCCAAGTTTAAACTTGTAATTAAACATACTGAATACTGCCTTGTAATTGCAGAATTCCATACTTGTAGCTTAGCTTAATTTTGTAAGTGGGCTTAACTTGTGCAGAACACTTCTCCATGTACAGAGGCTCAGTCCTCTCTCTTAAGTAGAAAGAAATGTCTTGGAGGAAGAAAAGGTGTGTCAAGTTAACTCCTGTTCGTACTTCGTAGCCAACCATTCATAAAGCACTGTGTTTTGGGTTTAGAATGGGAATTGTGGTTTTACCTATGAATGCTCTTTTTAAATATGTAAGGATTGCCAAATGAAGATATGAATATTAGAAGATAACTATTCCATGGTATCAAAAGTTGGATTGAATGAAAGTCTTTGAGCCAACTTCTTCAAGAAACAAGAAAATTTCTAAGGCAAAGTTAGCCCAGTGGTTAACCATGGTAATTTTTAATTCTTTAGAACACTATGCATGGTTTTAAAGTCTGTTAAGTATTGTAATGAGTAAGCCATTGTATCCTTTGTATTTCCCTTCAGTATAACTTGGGGAAAAGCTACTTCAGAATATCAGTGAAGTTATTTTCCTTTTGAAAAATATAACAGCAAAGGAAAAATATTAGGTATAAATTCCTAAAAAATACCTTAGTACTTAATAGGCTAAAGAATACTTATACTGAACTTCTGATAGCATTCTTGCATGGATTAGTGGAGGAAATTATTGGTGTGACTACAGACTATGTACTCCCATTGCACACGTTTTACATGGTAACAGTGAAAGAATGTCTCCCTGCAAATTCTGATTTTCTCCAAAAGGCAGCTTGCTTTTATATCTATGCATCTTTGAGGATTTCAAGATAAGATTTTATTCTTTTGACACTGTAAAGAGGAACTGTTTAAAAATGAACCTGGAAACTCTGCACCTGTATACAAACTTTTTTAGCAATAAAGCAGCACAGGCTGAGAATGCACTTAAACTGGATGTGTCATCTGTTCAGAAGACAAGTTAACCAAATTACTGTACATTCCACTCCACTTCTGAGGTCGACTTGCTGTAGCTTTGTCAAAACTTAACAACTCAAGCTGAATTCATATATGCTGGATATCTGCTTTGGGGCCAGCTGTCCCAGCATGCACAAGAGCTTGACTTAAACAGCAGCTAAACAAAATTGTTATTCCACTCATTCTAAGATGCATAACTTAAAGGGTTGTTTTAGAGAGTAGCAGAAATTCTCTGCTTCTTGTATTCGTTGTCTAAAAGTAACAAGGCCCCTCAGAAAACTGTTTTATGGATGTATTGTTTATTGTTTCGGTGACTGCACTTCCAAAAAATTTCTTCTGTGGTTGGTGGAGGTCTTCCCAGTTTCAAAGATTACAGAAATGCAGTTTAAAAATTTACCTGCTATTCTTCAGCACATACTCATTATTTATTTAAATCCATGCTCTGTAATATAATTTGTGGAACCAATACTTTAATGCTTCATAACAAATGAGGATCCAGGCAAGATAAAGTGATGGTTTTTTTCTGCAAAATAATCAAAGGAAAAGGAGGAGGCCTAGGACTCACATAATAGTGGCAGTGATTTAGACCATACGAATTTCTGAGTTTCAGCTTTTATTAACAAAGTTCTTTCTTCACAACTTTAAATATAATACAAAAATGTAACTGACAGCTTTCTTTTTCTTTTAGGGATCAGTACTAATGAAGCAAAACAATTTAGCATTATTCATAATACAGACATAAAATAGCAAGAAACAGTCTCAATGCAGAAACTAGAATGAAAGAGCAAAAGCAAACAGTCCCATTATCAATCACATTTCTTAGACTCGTGCAATAACATAAGCACTAAGGAAGTACTACATAGGTGGTATTAGAATTTGTGAGAGTCCCTCCTCTCCTTGCAGAACAACTGGTGATACTCTATGGTTTTGCTTATGACAATGAACTGAGACCATAAGAACTCCCAAACAGAAAGCAGCACAGTGAGCATTAGTAGTAGCCTAAGTACCAGCTGCCCACCTAAAACCTCTGAGGTGCCTTATCTCAGTGAGTTTTGTCCCTCTGCTCCAAGCAGAGTTACTTTACAAATAAGACAAAACACAGAACTGGCAGCAGCAGCAATGAGGTCTGCAACCTGCTGGTCATATACATGGAAGGAGAATGCAATTTGCATCACTGGAATTAAGCTGATCAAGTAAATAGAATCCTCTCTAGACTACTACAGAAAACTACTAACTTTCCATAAATTTATTATCCCTTTTGGAAAAAACATTAGTCCTTTAGGCAGCAAAGGGGAGAGGAAAAGGGACCTTAATCTTCCAAAAACAAGAATTAGGGATATTCTGTCCCAGTAAAAAAGGGTAAGTAGTGCTTTCTTTTCTGTAAAATTATTTTCTAAATATTTGGAAATAAGTAGAACCAATTTTCACCAGAGAGCGATGCCAATGAGCCATGAGTAGGTATTTTTAATGAAACATCCTAACTGGCCAGGCAATCATAACTTCAGGAAAGCAGTGCTTCCACGATTGTGCAGAAGACTGTTCCTTGGTTTCATAGTTAACATTCCAGAAAGAAGTGTTCAGTTGCTCACAGCCATAGCTGGCAAAATTTGACTCAGTCATGTTCCTGGGGCTGCACTTCAGCAGATCTGGAAGGCACGTGGGTTGCCCTTTACCTGAAATTCAAAACCTTGTGCTCTGCCTCCATGGTGCCATCCAGACTCATGCTCTAAGAACATTGCAGCATCTGTGACGTGCTTGTCTGCTGCTTTTGCAGGCAAGGCATACAAGCAAATCTCAGAACTATTCAGGAGTCCACTTAGCAGTGGCTCACATATCAGATGTAGCTAATGAGCCACTTGACCAAAATGTAGCTGCCATTAAAACCAAGGCTGCCATTAACAATGTGTCTGTATTAAAAGGCAGGACAAGAGCTTCAGGTTTTTAAGAACGTTCAGTTTGTAATGGTGGCTCTTGAATAGCATCACCTTGTTAAGTATATTTTGCATAGCTCCAGAAACCTGACTTCAGTATTTCAAAGGCTGGTTTTCCCCTTGAAGTCATTAGAAAAACCAAAGTTATATTTACAGAGCCTCAGAGAGTAACATGCTGCATGGGTGAGCTATTCAGTCTTCCAAGCTTAACTTCAGTATGTCAGATTCTCCTCCTGAAGGGAGGCACTTCATCGTCAGATCTTTCCACACACAGTAAAGTGACAGATCAATACTCACACCTGGTCTGGTGCATTATTTCTTTGTAATGATCAAACTCAGCAGAGATGCAGAAACAGCTCCAGCAGTTCTTGAAAATGGGTATTAGTTGGCATTAACTCTTGCATATCCTGATAGTAAGTCATCAGTAAGGATCTGTTGAAGAGTTTTGCCATTCTTCTGTTACATAATTATTTTATCCAGCTTCCTAGTCAGTACCTCTACACGACCACTTAACTCCACAAGCTTTTCTTTCATCTAGGAAAAAAGAGAAGAGTATTAAAATTAGCAAAAAAACTTCTAACACTGGATCTTTGAATGACCTGCACCCCACTTTAAGTGGCTAAAGAGCAGCTCACTTTCAAGATGGGAAAATATATATATAGAGGGGCTTGATCTCTATACTGCATGTTTAGTACTGACAAAACCAGCACCCAGATCAGAGGGCTCACTAAAAACTGGAGATGGATCAATGTTTACCTGTATCAGCCCTTCCAGGGACATAATGCAAGATGGAGATGGAGTTGCTGCAGTTTTACTGTGATGAACCTGAACTTTCCTAGTTAACTCAAGTTTTCACACAGTCAGAGACCTTCTTTGACAATATGTGGACACCCTGTTTCCTCATTAGCTTAGGAATACATGTGGACATTTTGTCTCAAAAAGCAAAGGCCAGATGCTGGAGCTTGTTCTGGTCAACAAGCAAACTCTCTACAGTCACATAATTTGTGTTTGCAATGAAGTGCTGTCATATTTTTACTTCAATCATGTATTATTACTAAATCATGTCTCGACTTCAGAAGTGTTATCTAGATAAGATTTTTGTATTTTAGCCTCACTGGACCTGTTAAAACACTCTGATCTTATAGAAACTGGAAGATGACTTGGAAGAAGACTGAACTTAAGAAATATAGAAGGCCCATTACAAGAGAAACTAAAACCTAAATTCAAACCCAAAAAAAAGTAATGAAAAAATTATCACATAAATACTGGATATGCTGACTGTCTCCTACACACGATAATTTATTTGAGCTAAGGCACAGGCAATTAACTGACATAACTAGTCAGGTTAAAGATAGAACATCCAACTGGAACACCAAAACAGGAGGGAGGTCCTAGAGTTCTCTCTGAAACTACAATTACTATCGTGCTGTTTTGAGCTTATGCAGACATAAAAATATAGCTTTAAAAATACCTTTCAAATAAAAAAAAAGTATATTTTAAAATTCTTCAACAATGACATCACAAGTCGTAATACTTAGGCCAAGTCTGTATAAATGATTTCAGGGTGTTTTTTTTATTCTGCAAGGTATAGAGAAAAAGGATAACAAACTTGCCAAAATTTAGCTAGAACTGGGTATGTTCCGCAGCTTAGAGGTCTTAGAAAATGTTTCACGTCTCATGAATTGAGTCAGTTATTGTCAAATAAGGCAGCATTTTTTTCAATCTTAGGCACTAAAAAACCCCACATTTGTGTCAATGTTTTTTAATTAATGTCCAAAATTATCAGCATTTTAAAAGTATTTTTCATTATTGTGGAAACCTTACTTTCTGCATGTTTTCCTTTAAGGTCACAGCTGGAAAATTCACCTTAGAAGCTTCTATAATCATTTGATTTTTTAAGAGGTAACTGGAAAACAAAAGGGGAAAGGAAAAAAAACCACAAGAAAAACAGTTTAAAAACCTATAGTTGCACTGTTTAGACAGACGATTTAAGATGATTTTAAAGCAGATACACGGTTGTTGCCAAAAGTAATAACTATGAAAATATTCTAAACATAACAATGGTTTTACTTTGGAATCAAGATCCTCTCATCACCTGCTGTAAGTAATCTACAGCTGCTGTAGCCAAGCCCTCATGGAATGACTTTGCTAACCTTACATTAGCCAGATGAATCTGGAACTGAAGAGATTTCAGCATTGCACACAACTAAATATGAAGTCTTGCATTACACAAGGACACTCAAGAGGTGCAAGGCAAATCAAAGGGATTCACATCAACACAATTTAGACATTAAGAATATTAAAATCCCACACCAATGTGCTCAGAGAAAAGTCAAACCACTTTTGTTAGCTGTAGGCTAGTTGTACCACCTGTGAAGTCAGTGGCCATAAGAATGCAGTGCACTCACCACATGATGCTGTCCTTGAAGAAACAGAACAAGTCCCTGAGATGCGCCAGGTCACTGCCAGAAGAATACAGAATGAAGCCCACGGCCAAGCCACAAGACCGACACAATAATAAATAATAAGCACTAAAAGGAGAAAGGGAAGTGTTTTTAAACAGAAGCTTTCAAAACCACAGATGCTGTATCTTTGTCAGAGGGCATCAAATCTTCAGTTCCATTGGGCAAAATCCAAGGCATAATAACGCCTCCTCCTCCAAAAAGTAATATGTACAAAAACAACGTGACCGTAAGAAATCGGGCATGTTGTGAAAGAAGTAATCTCTCTAATAAGTGAAGTAGCTGTTAAGGAAGAAAATGCACATCTTATTATCACAGAGTGGTTTAGAGTATTCTACTCAAACATGATTTAAGTAATAAAACAATGCATGTGCCAGTTGTAAATTCTTTCTAATAAGATATATGATTACCCCATGCAGAGAGAGGGGCAAGGAAAAAAGTCAAAAAAAGAGCAATCTTATATTGAAAAAGTTCCCAGTCCTGACAGTTTGTAAAACAGCCTTTAAAAACTATTTAAACAAGCCACTGGTTCTGTAAGCCCTTAGATGACATTTTACATTTTCCTGTTAGACTGAGTTAGCTAACCTTGCAAACGGTAAGTTCCTCAATAGGGCAGCATAAGTTTTTTATTTTCAGTATTAAAAAAAAACAACCAACCAACAGCCACCCCTCCCCCGAAACCAAACCAACCAAACCCTGAGATGTTTTAAGTAAGAGACCTTTTAGGGAAGGGAAGAAAGGGACCTACAAGTTAAGCTGTTTTCTATCTACTGCATTGCTCGAATGCTTCTCTTCACCTACAGAGGTTATAGCAGCAAAACTCTTTGATTTCAAGTGAAAACTACATCCCTATAAAAGGTTCCTCCACCCGAAGCGTGAAACAGGTACAGAAGTCATTTGGGAATTTGCCAAGCCTGTCAGAACCCCCGCGCCCGGCTTTGCCCGCACGATTTACCGCGGCGGCCACTCACGGCAGGCCCGGTGCCAGAGCTACGGGACCTACGCACCATCCCAGGAGAGCTCCCTCGAGGCCGATCAGCAGCGAGTCCTCCCAGGTCACATCGCTGGTGACTTCTGAGGAGAAAGAGCCGCGCTGCAGCCGAGAGCTCCCGGCCCGCCCCCCGCCCGGTCGCGCTGCCCGCCCCGAGCCCCGCGCCCGCCGGCCCGGCGAGGCACTGACTGAAGCAGACGAGGACGCTGAGCTCCGGCGGCTCCTGCCCGCACAGCTGCAGCGAGTCCCCCAGCACCGTCCAGCAGCTACGGCAGTGGAACACGGCGCACTCCTCCGGCAGCGGGCCCTGCCGCCGCGGCGGCGATGCCGGCTCCGCGGCCGGCGGCAAGGAAGACGATGGCGGCGATGGCGGCGGCGGCGCGGACAGCGAGGCCCAGGCGGTAGCGGCGGGGGCAGGCGCCCGCTCCAGCACAATGGCCCCGGCGAGCTGCGGCTCCTGGAACAGCTTTTGCAGCCGCTGCCGCACCGCCATCTCCTCGCGCCAAGCGTTCGGGCGCGGGGCCCGCCCCCCGAGTATCGCGATTGGAGCGTGGCTCGCATCTCTGCGTTACCATTGGTCAGCGGGCGCGTCAATCGTCGCCGCCCGCGGCTATTGGGTAGCGGGCCGCACCGCGCGCGCCTTTCTCTGCCGGGAACGCCTCATCGCGCTTGAAAATAAGCACGCACGGCGGGCCGCTCCGCCATTGGCGACTCCCGCGCTCCGCCCCCCTAGGCCACGCCCCTTCTGTAGCCCAGCCAATGGCCTGGCGCAGCGGGCCAGTTCGAACGGCGGGGGCGGTGCGAGCTGTGTCGGTTGCGCGCGAGCGGTGTCGGTTGGCGCGCGGCGGGCAGGGCCGGCCGCTCGGAGCTGCTGTCATGGCGTTCGCTTCGCTGAAGCCCCTGGAGGCGCTGAAATACGCTGAGCTCCAGCGCATCGCCAAGGCCGCCGGGCTGAGGGCAAACCTGCGGGTGAGGCGGGGGCGGCTGCGAGGGGACAATGCCCACGGTGCTCCGGGTTCTGGGGTGCCCCCGTGCCCCGTGGCGAGAACGCATTCCCAGCCTCCCGGGGCTCACCCTCCCGGGCCTGGAGCGGCGCCGGCAGCGGCACCGCCCGCGGGTGCGGCGGTGGCTTCGCGCTGGGGCGCCCCGGGGGCTGTGCTGCCGTCCGGGGCGCGGGCAAGCACTCGGGGAGGGGGAGAGCGGGGCTCCGGTGTCCCGCGGGCATCGAGAAGGGGCGGCTGCCCCCTCCTCCGCTGGCCCGGCTGTTCCCCCACGCCGGTGTCCCCGCGCCGTTCGGCGGCGGCGCGCGTAGCCGTGTGTGTTTGTTTGGCTTGGCTTGGCTTGTTCTTTTCTTATGGCTCGGAGCGGGAGGAGCAGTGACAAGGGAGTGCCTTGAGGGGGGAGAGGGAGGGCGCGTTCGGCGGCCCCGGGTCCCGCTGGAGCTGCGGGTGCGTGTGAGGCGCGGCCGGGCTCCTCCGGCTGCAGGGGCAGGAGCCATCAAGCCTTGAAAGAAACTTCTTGGGTGGGCAAGGCAGCTCCCTGGCCTCGCAGGACTGCGAGTTTTTCTGACAATGTTAGTTTTGGGGTACATTGATTGTTTTTAACATTGATTGTGTAAACTTACGTGTTTAAGTGTCCTTCGTAGCCTGAATTATCAATGGTGTTGAGTTTGTGTTACTTGTTTTCATTGTTATTTTATTACTATTACTGCTGAATGTATGCGAGGGATGAAAATAATGCTTTGTGTGTAGCGTGGGCAAGACAGGAGCAATTGCAGAAATTTGACACGATTTTAATTCAGGTTCAACTGTGGGGCTTAAAACAGTTTGTCTCCTTTCTCGACCAATTAAACTCCTGGAAAATAGAGCAGAAGAAACCTAGTCAAGGAAATTTGCCTTTGTGCCTCCTTGGAGAATATGCTGCAGATTCATCTGTGGCCTTAGGCACTGTCTCTGACTGAATCGAGCGAGTCCCCGCTGTGCCTCACGCTGCTGGATTCGGGAAACGTCCTGCTCGTTTGCTGGATCTGTTCGCAGCATGCGGGGTGGGCTGGGCAGCTCTTCCGTGCCTTAATGGACTGTTTGGTTCACGTGTTGTTTTGATTTCTCTTCAGGCAGACAAGTTATTGGAATCATTGAAGCAACACTTTGAAAGGACAAATGGAGAAAGTGAAAATATGGTAACATATACAAATAATAATAAGACGTTGTTTTAAAGAAATGCGAACCTTAACTTGTAACCCATAGAGCAGGGCATGTGCTGAAGGGTGATTTTGACCACAGTGGGAACTGTAATAGAAATACCTTTTTCTTCTTTGTGCCCTTCATTTAAAGTACTTATATACTGATAGAAATAGATATGCTAATGTTAGTTTTGAGGCAGCCTCTATGACTGAAAGCTGATTTCCTTTCAGCTGCCAAAATTAACAATGTATTTTTTAGCATCACTACAAACCTATTCTCTGTGAACAATAACATTTAATTTCCACTGAACAAACCTTAATTCTTCCTTGTTTGGCTCCAGACACTATTCGGTACCAAATATAAAAATATTTTATTCATTTTGCATGCATAAATGAAGGGGACTAGGTACTAGTTGGAAAGTATTTTGCATCTACTGCAATTTACTTCCACTTATAATGAAAGCAATACAGTTTTGCTACTTCCTTTATTTGCCTCTTAGTGTTTTGTTTTCTTACCTTTTTAAAAAGTTTTCTGTAAGCAGAATATTTTGTTGAGTGTGGCAATGTTTTTGATTAAAGTAATTTGTTATCTCCTTTTTCTAAAATACATCCTCCCTTTAAGTGTATCCCTTAACAATCTTCTTTGAAGTCTTGAGGAACTGGTAAACCTTGGAGTCTTTTAAAAAATTTTTACGAGCAGGAAAGGAGCCCTTTACTGGTGAAAAGTATTCCACAAATATACAAATATGGGAGGGTCATGGCATCATGCAAGTTGGATTTCAAATATCAAATACTAGGCTTTTATAATCTTATTAAAATGAAATATGATAAAGCAATAATAGGAATTGTATTTAAAGTCTCCAAACAATGAGCTTTGCTGCTTAGGGGAATCTAGATAGTGCCGGTTTCTTGATTACTGTGCTGCTACATGGCATGCTACTGTTTATCCTCAGTGTTAAATACTTTTTTAAATAATAAAATTGAAACTGGTCTGGAGTATTTAATTCCTATTTGTGTCAGATATCTTCCAGTTATAGTATTTTTCTGCTGCAGGGTCCTGTAAAGAGTGCATCTGCTTCTATTAAATCAGATGAACTGAGCAATCAGGAGGAAATTTTGTCTGATTCAGTGTGTTTCATTACAAAAAGAAATGGTAAGGATAAGAAGATAACCAGAAAAAAGAGGAACTCCCGTGAGGAAACTAATAGCAGTGAAGAAAACCCAGTGCTTTCTGATGAGAAACAGGTGATTTGCTTTGCATGCTTTTGTGTTCTGTCCTCCCTCTGAGCATAATTTAAGCACACTTGATTTCTTTTCAATCACCATTTATAGACGGGCTGTGTTTGTGTGTATATAGACATGTACAGAAATTGATATTCAAGCATTCTGGTACTGGTCTTTTGTATTTTGTAGCACTGACTTTTGGCCATTTATGCACTTTCCTGTTGTGGACTCTCCGCGTGTTGAGACACGAGGCTTGACTCCATTTTAGAAAGCTGATTTATTATGTTAAATATTATATTAAAATGCTACATTAAGACTATACTAAAAGAACAGAGATTAGAAGGTTACAACAAGAATAGAATAGAATAACAAAAATCCTGTGACTGCTCACAGCCTTGGCACAGGTGGCTGTGATTGGTCATCAATGGAAAACAATCCACATGGACCAATCACAGATGCACCTGTTGCATTCCACAGCAGCAGATAGTAATTGTTTACATTTCTCTCCTGAGGCTCCTCAGCTTCTCAGGAGAGGAAAAATCCCAGCAAAGGATTTTCATAATATCATGGCTACACTTTCCCATGATAGACAGACATTACTTCTAGTCACTGATTCAAGAAAATAAATTCCTCTCAGAAATATACAATTCCAAACACTTTATCTGAGTGTAAGGCTGCTTTCACTAGTTCATTGTAGTATTTTGAATCTTAGACTAGTTTCAGAATTTACCTAAAATAAGGCTGTTATCACTATTTTGATACAGAAAAATTATCAGAAGTTGCACAATTGCCTAAACCTCATAACTTTTTTTATTGTGAGGGTTGTGTGACTTAGGGAGTGAAAGTTATAAGGTAAGATGGAGGTTGACTTTTTTTTGAGTTACAAGGAAGTAGATAAATTAGGAACTGTCTGAAAGACTTTTACTGCGGCAGAGGAAGGAAATAAGGAAAATGAGGAGTGCTAGTCTTTTAGTGTATTTTATACTTAAATGTGAGAGCTATGTAGGTCAAAGCTTTATATCTTAAGTTTTTGAAGTAATAGGGTAAGTATTGCGCAGGTTAATTCAGTTTGGACTTGAAAAAATCTCTGGCTCAATCTCTCAATCAAAGCGGACTCAGCTAGGAGGTTAGAGCCCAGTGCTTTGGACTTTATCCAACCTGATGCTGAAAACCCTTGAGGATGAAGGCTGTGCACCTCTCTGGGCAATCTGATCCACGGCCCACTGTTCTCAGAACAGCTTTGCTTTATATCCAGTTGGAACAAACTGGTTAAACAAAAGATGTTTAAACTGTAGGTGCGTTCTGAAATGAAAGAAAATGAAGTGCCTCAGGGTGAGCACAAAAAGCGAGAGAAGATACCACGAAAAAAAATGGAGATAACTGAAGAGAGAGCTGTTGAGAATCCAAGGATGGGTGCTGGCCAGAAGAAACAAGCAGAGAAGACTTCTACTAAAGGCAGGGGAGAACAACGTAAGTACAAAACTGGATCTGTCGGGGTGCGCTGTTATTTGTCTCTGCCCCGATACAGGAAGGTGGTTCTGGGCAGGCCGTGCTCGAAGGACGAGTCTGGACTCTTGAATTTTTGGTCTTCGATCTTGTTTATTATTTCTTATCTACAATATTTTCTGTCTGCCCAGCCGAGGGCTGTTCAGCAAGGCAGCCCAGTGCACTCTCCCCCGCCCACGGGCAGCTGTGTCTTTTATACGTCTAACATATTTACCTTTAATTCCCAATACTTTTCACCCTTATTAACAAATGCATTTTTTACCATGAACCAATCCACAAGTGCCAACATCATCATAGAAAATGGAAGACATGATGAAGAAATAAGAACCTGGGACCACACCCTGAATCCTCCATCTTGTCTCCATGACCCCCCTGTACCAAAATTCTAAAATCTCTATTTCACCCTGTAAATACACCATTCAAACCCTAAGGTTTCTCATTTCCTCATGCATAGATGACTCATCTCTAAAAGGATCAAAGTCAAGGCACCAGACACTTTTGGCAACATTCCAAGGCCACCGAGCCCCTCAAGGGTTCTCTCGGTGACTCTGGACATCCGGAGTGGTATGTTGAGTTCCCACAGGATCAAAGTAACTTTAATTTGTGCTACTTACAATAAAATTATCTTTTGGTTATTCTGTCTTCGTACCATTTTTGTGGCACACCTGTTGATCAGTACCTTGTTTTGTGGATACTTGAAGAAAATTGGTCTGGTTTGTGTTACTTGTTTAAGGTTGTAACACAAATCCACAAATTCTGCAGCATAGGAATTTTACTGGCTTTGTCTTCAGTCTCTTGCTTTTAGTGAAGGAGTTTTCAGAGGGCTGAGTGTATTTGAGTTTTATGCTTCCAAAAGGAATACCCTTGAGGTGTTGTTTGGCCTCCAGGAGGTGGCAAGAAAGGGAGGACTTGCTTCGTTATGGTTCATTTATCTTTTTCCAAAGGTGAACAGTTGTATCTTTTGCTTTCCAGGAGTAAAATTAGCAGAAAATATAGAATCCTTTAGCATTTGTTTGAACTACCCAAGAGTATCTGAATGTGTTCCACTGGATCACTTTTTCATCTGGTTTTTAGTCCTTCAAACACAATGCCACTGAAAATATGAATTAATTTATCCCCCACTGCTTTGTGTATGCAGCTGAGAAGAAGCAATGAGTTTGTCTACCTAATCTGATAATTTCTTGATATTGAAGGGTCTGTCAAGATGCACTTCTGCATTTGCTCTATTAGGCTCAGTGTATGTAGTCTGTAAGTTTATTATGGATATTTTTGTTGTTCCATAGAATTTACAAGGACAATCTTGTGGGAGACCACTAATAATTTTGAACTAACTCAAAAATGTGGGGTTTTCTGTGAAGGTTGTTGTTTTCAAAAACAAAAGCAATAGGATATGTGGGGGATGCTTGGGGGCATCACTCATCCTGACAGTTGGTACAGTGCTCCTCTCTTCCTGTAGCTGTAGTAACAACTCTGCAGTTAATATCAACAAGTTTTTTTTTTTAACTGCACACCGTTATTTGTTGCCAGTAAGGATTTCTTTCAATATATTGTGGTTATCTAAGTTTACTTTTGAGGGGATGTGAATGACCAGAAATGCAAATATTTGCTGTTGATATGCAAATGCTGAACTTGATGTAAGGTTGTTACCTGATTTTTTTTTTTCTTAAGAAAATGAATCATTAAAATGTGAATGTGAGTGTGTTACTACACCTGAGAACAGAGACGATAAAAATAACTTGGACTCTGTATGTAACTAAGGCAGTGGCAGAAAACTTGGTCAAAAAGTATTTTTTCTTTAGTGTCAACATTTAAAAAACACAGATCAAAGCCTGTGAATTTAAAGTTTTTGTTCACCACAAGCACAGTTCTCTTGTAAACTTTCCCTGAAAAATATTCTACTATCATCATATACTAACCTAATATGACTTTAGGATTCGTGCTGGGCTTGTGCTTTGTCAAGATGTATTATTAATGACAAACCAATTAAAGCACTTTTGAGAGTCTTAGAACATACCTATGCCAGCTGGTTTTATTTCTCAAAGCCTAAATCCACTTTGAAGAGAAAGTATGTCTTGAAACACACACTGGAACAATATTTGACACTACTGTGATTACTTTAAATCCTCCAGGAGTCGTAATGATTTTGTCTAATCTTGCTGTACCAGGTAATGCCCGTCCTGCAGGAGGGAAGATCCCTGTACGTGTGGGCCGTGCACTGAGGTCTGCAAGAGTGACAGCTACGACACCAAGTAAGACAACCTGCCATCTTTAGGAAGAGATGTGTGTTCTCTGTATAAAGGGAGACTTGACTTAGGTTTTTACAACTCAGGTTTCTATTCCTGCTCAAATAAAAGAATTTCCTTTCTTTAAAAAGCAAGCCAAAAATTTTCCCAAACGTTACATTTCAAGGTACATATTCCAGCTTGTAAATTCATAGTAGTAAATGACTGGCATGTATGTTAAAAAAACTGGTTTATTGAACATTTTGGTGACTTCTCCATACAATACTTTTATTAATAATTTTCAAAGAACAGGAACACATACATGCTACTATTCCTGCTTGTTTAGTTTTCACTTTATAAATACTATGGTTGTGCTGTACTACTATACATTAGTTCATGTTCATTACTTCTTAAAATGTGTTAAATCATCTCAAATGTAGAACTATTTGTTGTTTTCTTTAACTGCAGAATTTGGGGGTTGGGTTGGATGATCTTTAAAGGTCTCTTCCAACCCAAACCATGATTCTATAATCCTTCAGATTACCAGGTAGTGGGCCATGTGAATAGATTCTTTTGGTCCTGTTTGGTCAGCTGTGTCTACAACCTTTAATTAGAGGGACGCGTTGCCCCCTTTGAGGTCATGACCATGGGTGTCACAAAATTCTCCTATTGTATACTAAACTCCCTTAGAACCATAATGTATCTGTGAATGTTCTTATTTTTGAACTTCTTAGACTTTAAAAAGTTGCATGAGGCTCAGTTCAAGAAAATGGAATCTATTGCTGACTACGTTGAGAGAAAAAAAAAACTGAACGAAAGTTTCAGTACAGTCAAGGTAAGAGATAACACACAAAGATACCCATTGTTGGCATATTCAGTTATTTCCAGGGCCTTTCTGTAAAAGTCCTACCAGGTCTCTTTAGATCAGTAAGTAACTGGTCATGTGAACATGCAGTGGAATATTATAACCAATATATATAGTTATTTGTATATTACTTATGAAACAATACAAAGTTTTATGTGTTAACAGTGTACAGCTGTAGAAACCAACAACTAACTTGTTTTTGAGTAAAAATAATCGTCACAATTACTTTTGTGAAAGATCTCCTGGATCTTTTGTTTACAACTGTCTGAAAAAATCAAGATTACTAACCTTGCTGCAAAATTTAACCAAGGGGATAGGTTATTTTTCAAGGAGCAGGAATTAAATATTTTCTCTTTTGTACCTGAACTATCATCCCGTGGCTGCATATGATTCTCCTTAAAAATACATTCAATATGTGTTGTTCTCAGTTCTTGTATTTCATCCTCACATGGGTGAAAGCTGCTAACAGGGCCTCTCACAAAGTGCAGTAGAGCCTAAAAAAGCGACAGTAACTTATCAATGAATGTGTGAGTGAATATGGCCATGGAATTGTTCACGTTGGATGTCGCCCTGATTTTGTAAGACTTTGTTAAGCCTTCTGATGTTTACATTCTTTCAACAAACTTTCTCACACACAGTTCTGTAAATAACCTATGTTTTGTATTCTTTCATGGAGGTGGAGAGAATTGATGGACCCTTGGTCTGTCCAGTGGCATTGGAGAGGTGGCACTGTCACCCTCCAATCCACTGTCACCTTTAGAAAACTATAAATGTTGGAGTCAGAAAATAAAGTCCTTCGTTTTTGTTCCCCTCGAGAGCAGCAGTGTCTGTGTCATCATTTTGTGTCTTATCACAACAGGCTGGTTACTCTAATACTGTCCCTAACAAACAGCAATAATGAATAAAACTCCTGAACACTACATTTATTTTTTTAATGGCATATATTGTATCAATGTATACTTCAGACAAATTACTGTTTCCAGGTGCTGACCAGAAAATCAAATCCCTTAAGAGCATCAGAAAAAGACACTCTGTATTTGAAGATATGTGTTGTCAGGTCAATTTAATAATAAAAATAATTACGTTTAAAATATGCTTTTAAAGAGGAAAAAAAGGGAGAAAACTGAAGAGGCCATATGCTTTAGATTCACTGTGTGTTTTCCCTACTTCTTGGCCGCTTTGTAGATAAATTTTCAACAGTCTGGTAACTCAGAATTTGCTTTTCCCTAGAAACAAGCCAGTGGCAAAAGATTTTCATTGAGCCCAAATCCAGAAAGAGGCAGGTTCTCCACCACCAGCACTCCTTGTAACCTGTGGCGCTCACCACACAATTCTCTGAACGCTGCTCATCGGAGCATTTTATCCCAGAAGTCTTCATTTCATCCTTCTGTACTTTCAACATCCAAAATGAATGTCAGGTAAAAAGTACAAACCAAAACTACCAGCAAGCCATTTGGTGTGATACACATGAAATAATCAACACTGACTATGATTTTACTACATTATTTCTCTTCCAAACCTGAACTATGCAAGACTAATTCTGATTACTAACTTTCAGCCTGGCTTTGTGGGTGGTTTAAGCCTCACTGTGCTGTTACTGTCTTCATTCTTCATTTTTATGTCTGTTAGAAGAATCTCAGATCCTGGCTTTATTTTTCTAAAGCCAAGTGATGCAAAATCAAGCAAATTATTTTTCTTCTACTACTGTGTTCGGTTTTCTATTTTGCCAGGCAGCCTAATAGTTTCTGTTTATCCTAATTAATTTTTCTGTAAATTTTAAAATCAAAACTCTTTTCAGTATTCCAGGTGAGTCTTGCAATGGTTTTTAGGTGCTTTCTTCCTTTTGTCCTCTACTTCCCCTCTCCTTCAGTGGCACAGTGTCACAGCAGGGGTACTCTTGTGATTGACTACTATAGGCAGACCATTTCTAGCAGATGGGAGCTGACACCAGAAGTCGTGAGGAATTGCTAATGGATGAACTCTTACTCAATGCTATTATACCTCGTCTCATTTCCTTTTAGACCATCATGTGTATGTCATCATTCCTCCACAGTAATCTAATTCTCTCTTAGTGTTAATACTTCACGAACTTCTGTTATCTATCAGTATGTTTTATTTGCTTCTTAATAATTTTTCTAAAGTCTTGATCAAGAAACATTTTAAAAGAAGGAATTGAAAGGATGGTCCTTACAGTGTCCTATTGATAAATGTTCTTTTTGCTTGGATTTCTAATGAAAGCCTTTATTTCCACTATTTCTTTGTTGATTTCTAACTATTATACTAATCTTGACTCTAATCAGTTTCCTAAGCCTTCCACAGTGGCTGAAGTTCTGATTAGACCTTCTCCCTTTGCTAACAATACATGGTTGTTCACAGGCTTCGGCTGTGTTACTGTCGCTGGCGACCTTCATTTTTCCATTTCTGCATTCCAAGATCATGGCTGCTGGGGCTTTTTTTTTGTCCCTGACTAAAGTGTATGTGGGATTGTTGTTTTTAAATTAGGTAATGCAACTTCTCATATTGGTGTCTGATAGTATATAATTATGTGACTTTGGAATGCAGGTCTTCTGCTGTTCACAGGTCAAAATCAAGATTACAAACTTAATGGCTTTGTTTTTAGTTTAAATGTCTTTTTGACTTCAATAGATAGCAAATGTAAAAGATACTCTGCCTCTAGTGTCCTCTTGGATGAGCTTGGTTGTCTTCACTGCGGCCCTAACTGATTCCTAGCAATATGTGAACCAAAACGTTACATGCAGAATTTGCTTCCAAAATTCCATTCATTCAAAGTTGCACTGTGGTGGACCTTGCACGCTGTACTTCATCATAAACTTGCTCGCCCACAAAAACAGCTTTCTTCAACATTTACTCCTTGTCTTTCTAAGTCTTGCAAGCTCATGGCTTATTCTCATGCGTTTTTGCAAGACTTTGAACTTTATGCATGTACACGTATATGGGTAATCATAGGTGTTCATTAAGAATGTGCATATACACATTTGGAATAGGTATGGAATGTGTGTGTCTTGGTATGCAGGTAACTTGTGTGTTTCAAAACCTTCAGCTTCTTCCTCTTGTAGGTCTTTGAGGTCCAGCATTCTGTTAGTTGTCCTTCAGTTTTGCTTAATATGAATTTTAAAACTAAAGAAATATGCAATGCTTTACTACAGAATCCAGGTCTAAAGTAAATCATATCTGTTGGTGAATAAATCTACTAGCTTATTGCACCTAAGTATATTTGCTTTTCAAAATAACAAGAAAGTCAGTTCTTTGTATTTTCTGATAGTACTTACTGCTATTGACACTGGCTCCAAACTTAGTGTTATGCCAGCAAGGTATTTTAGTACGGTTTTTGTATGAGCTGTGAACATCTTTCACACAGTAAATCTGTAATAAATTAATAATAAATAATATAGAAGGCAGAACCTTCTATATTCTGGTACATTGCTTACATTCCTTGTAGGTGACTAAATTTGTCTTCATATTTCTAAAATCTTTCAGATTCTCAGAAGCCACAAAAGATAATGAGCACAAACGCTCTCTTCTCAAGACTCCATCTAGAATGTCTCCATACATGGAGGAGATCTGCACACCTGACACTCAAAAGAGCTGCAAACTAATAAGTCAGAAGAACAGTAAGGGAAATGCAAAAAATAATGATCTGACTGCATCAAAGGGTAAGGTGGATGGTGAATATTTGGCTCTTTCAAATCAAGACTTTCGTCTTACTGAATTACTATACAAGTTTTTAACTACCAAATGTCATGTAGACCCCGGTTTTAATTTAATTCTCTAATTTATGACTGGTTCTTCAGAAATGGCACTAGTTTCTTTGCTGCTTGTGATTTCCAGTGCTTTGAATAAAATGTTTAGGTGCCACAACTTAAAAATATGGTATGTAGTTACCTACAGAAAAGAGGATAGAAAGTCTTCTAGACCTTCAGGGACTACATAGTGAAAGATTCATATAGCAGACACAGGGACACCTCATCTGCACAGAAAGGAATTCCTGACACCTTTTTATCCTTGTAGGGTTAGCATGCATCAGGCTTCTAGCTGATGGACAAGCTGTTATCAGCCTCAGCACCCTGATAACTCAGGAACTAAAATTAAGAAAAATCAGAAGTCTTCTGATTAGTAACAATCTCTGCAGCAGCACAGTGCTGCTATCCAGCCATTGACACCCTTAGCATCACAGGGATGTTTGCACAGGTCAAAAACCCAGAGCTTCCTGGTTTGCTGTATAATAGTACTGATGTTTTCAAGGGGCAAGAAAAGTTCCACAATGATTTGAAGCTGACCTGTTCCAAAATAATTCTTCTTTAACATGAAAAACCACTTGGTTCCAAATAGGCACAGAAAAAACACAATTTCCCTTGAAGGACTAGAAAAACACATGGAGCTGTATGTGTTCTTCCATAGTGTAATCATAGCTAAAGGGCAAGTACTCTGCAACTTTTGTCCCTCCCTATTTCAAGTGAGAATTACATTGTTTGTGCAATTCTGTCTTTAGAAGTAGCAGCAGGAGCATTTAATGGCCCTTTGGTCTTGACAATCGTGGTGTGGTCTTTCTGTGTACATCGATGCTCTCGCTATTCTAACTATGGTATCTCGATGCCTTTTGTAGTCCTTACCCCCTTCAAGTTTGGAGTTCAACCTGCAGAACCCACAAGTGGAAAGAAGACATTTGATCTCAAAGCAAGCCTCTCGCGGCCACTTCGGTATCAGCCACACAAAGGTACTGTGACCCCGTGCGGCCTGCGTTGGTCACAGCCCTCACTGTGACCCCATACGGCCTGCGTTGGTCACAGCCCTCACTGTGTGCGGCCTGCGTTGGTCAGAGCCCTCACTGTGACCCCGTGCGGCCTGCGTTGGTCAGAGCCCTCACTGTGACCCCGTGCGGCCTGCGTTGGTCAGAGCCGTCACTGTGACCCCGTGCGGCCTGCGTTGGTCACAGCCCTCACTGTGACCCTGTGCGGCCTGCGTTGGTCACAGCCCTCACTGTGACCCCGTGCGGCCTGCGTTGGTCACAGCCCTCACTGTGACCCCGTGCGGCCTGCGTTGGTCACAGCCCTCACACTCAGCTGCTTGTAAGGGGCACTTTGATACAAACAGTGAGGACAAAGTTACAGTCTCTTTTCCTGTCCCTTTTCCTTTTTCCCTGGGTTCCCACATAGTCTGACGATAAGTTTCTTCATAATATATGCTTCAAGAGCCTCCCTAATGAAGATTAAGATTTCATGACCAAAAGCCCATAAATACCAAAATCAATATCCTTGCATTCCGCTGAATAGGTGCATGTACAGGAAATACATTCCTTACACAATGAGGTGGGTTTTTTTAATCTCGTGTGAGGAGCTGAACTTTCCATGGTGTGTGTTACTTCTAAGTATAGTCATCTGTTTCTACTTACAGAAGAACTACTTGTAGGGAATGGGCTGGTGAAACTGACAATACAGGTTAAAGAGGCATTACATCTTCAAAACAATCAGTAAGAAACAGGCTAGCTAGGATGAATTCATGATAAGAAGTTAAGCACACAATTAGTTACTGAACTATTAAACTAGTCTCTCTTTTTGCTCCTAAACTGTAGGACGACTGAAGCCGTGGGGAGAATTTAAAGAAAATGCTGTTCCCAGTAGGTCTGGTGGTGTCTGTTCACATAGGAAAGATTACAAACAGCCACATCTCCAGACAAGGTTAGTACACTACTCATCTTTTTATAGATAGTGTTACTTAAAATAGTATGATGATTCATTCTTCTTCTTAGGATTTAAATGTAGTTTAGGAAAGAATACTTTTGTATTAACGCCATTTTTCCTTCCAATGACTACTTAATTTCAAGAAGGCCAACAAAAGGCTGCTCTGAATTTGTTAAGACTTTTTTTCCATGAACAATATCAGTTCCAGAGTTTAGAGACTTACCTTCATCTTGGAAGAAGCTGTCAGTATTGACATGCTGTTACCTCAGGTGTTAAACCTGCATGTCTCAGCAGATGTATTTGCCTGAATGTTTGGGTTCAGTCCATAATGGTACTCTTATCTCTGCCTATGGCAAAGGCAGCACACTGATTAAACTTGTGTTGGGCTGTGGTCAGCTTCAGATTCCTTTGGTTGCTAGTGTCTCTACCTTTAAAACTTGACATAGTCTCTTTTTTTTTCCTCCAGGGACGAAAGGCGTGAGACACTTGAGCAAGAGAGAAAAAAGAAAAAGGCTCATGCTCTTGGCAAACGTAGAGGCCTATCTGGGTGTTAGAACAAACAAGGATCTAAGACTTCATTGTAAATACTGTTCCTCTTGTGAAAAATGCCAGTCATTTGTTTTTACAAATTTAAAAAGTTTAATAGTAATAAAATGGTAATAAAAAAGTAATATAATTAGAGTAATAAAATTTGAATAATTGAGATTAGAACAATATGACACAAAAACAAAGAGATACGGACGTCCAGGTACATTTTTCTGGGCAACACAAGCCCGAAAAAGGACCTCAGTTAACAGAGGATTAACCCTTAAAAACAATCGCCTGTTGCACATTCATACATCTCATACGTGATGCATAAATTCCATTCAAACACAGGATTCTGTCTGCTCACTGTCAACTTCTTCCTCTTAATCTTCATGCCATCTCCTGTCTGAGTCAGGTGGGAAGAAGTTAGTCAGTTTCTGCTGATAAGGGAGCAATAAATTCCCTTTCTCTGGAAGATTTAGGTGTCCTTTGGCTTCTATCTGGTGAGAGTCCTTTCTTAACCAAATATCTTACATAGCATAGTTTCTATTTTAACATTGTTATAACCTAAAACTGTATTTAATAGTTAATTTAATACTTAAGAAAATGAATACAGCATAACTTTCTAACATAACACATACAATATTCATTTTAATACTTGTGAAAAGCCAATCATAAAATACACATTTTTCACACTCTCATGTAAAGGCTTGTGCTCTGTGTATGGTTCAGGTTGCTTTGGTTAGCTAGTGGAATCCAGAAAGCAATTAATGAGACCTTGTAATGTGCTCTGAGCATAATGTTTCCATTATCAACTTCTCCACTAAGATGAGAGTTCTAACTTTCAGGGGCTTAAAACCCTTGTTCCTTCATAATGTTTTCATGTAACTAATTTACTTGACTAAAAAATGTTCATGTTGCGGTGTACTCTCTGTGTGTGGAGACACAAGGCTTGACTCCATTTCAGAAGGCTGATTTATTATGTTATACATTATACTAAAATGCTACATAAAAACTATACTAAAAGAACAGAGAAAACTGAAAGATCAGAAGGCTACAAAGAACAAGAATAGAATAGAATGCATAACAAAATCCTGTGACTGCTCACAGCCTTGGCACAGGTGGCTGTGATTGGCCATCAATTGAAAACAATCCACATGGACCAATGGAAGATGCACCTGTTGCATTCCACAGCAGCAGACAGTTATTGTTTACATTTCTCTCCTGAGGCTCCTCAGCTTCTCAGGAGCGGAAAAATCCTAGGAAAGGATTTTTAATAAAATATCATGGCTACAAAATAAGAAAATGTAAGTGGAAAAAAAATGCTCAAGAAGCCTCCTTGCAACTTAGGATACACTTGTGCATCAGAATGTGTTGTGTGCTGGAATGCAGGCAATCAGGCTTTAGACAGCAGCAGCTTCAAAATGTTCCATCACGTTCAAAATGACCAGATTTGGAAGTACCTGCTTGCCCTGTTCTCCAGATCAATTCTTAAGTTCTCTAAGTTACAGCAATTACTCAGCATTTCTAATTGAATGCCTATGAAACAGTAGGGAATTTCAAAGAGAAGAAAAAATATGCAAGCTCTCTGGCAAACTAATGCATAATTGTAAACTACCTTTTTCAAAAAGTCACAACTGAATTTACAAACTACCAACTGAATGCTTTGAACAGTTAAGGTTTTGTTCCTTTCTATGGTAAATAGCAGATGTTAAAATTCTCTTGCTTTTCACCTCTAAGATGCTTAAAAGAGGTTATAATTGTGTTGAGGTACGCTCAATACCGTGGTTTTAAAAGAACCTGTTATTTTTACATTAAAGAATACATAGAAAAGTTGTCTGAATTTTTTAGGGATAGAAGTAGAAATTTAGCAGCTGTTGAACAAATAAATGTTTCACTGTATTTATGTCCCATAAAATATATGTTGTGACGTCAAGAAAAACCAAATTTCTAAATAAATTTAATGGGGGAAATAAATATTTTGCATATGTCCTGTTCATCACTGGCTTTATCATTTAGTATACTAACTACAACTGCTTCCTTACTCTGGTACTATTTTTGTTCACATTTGTATTTACTGCTGTGTTTTCCTGTGCCAAGTTTTCCTTACCAACTCACCTGCCTCCCACTCCATGAAAGATGTTTGCTCTGATATCTTCCTGGTATCATCCTTCTTCTACAATTAAGCTGCTGAATTCAGTGCAAAAGGAAGATGACAGTACAAGATCCTGTTTCAGCTTGCTTCACTGTGGTCTCTTCCATAGAAAATACAGGTACATTCAATATTTCTGAAGTATACTTGAACAAGGTCACTGTGGAGGAGGTCACTGCTTTGATTATTTAAATTTGATAGCTGAAACATACTCTTGATAAAGCAAGTGGTGAGTAGTTATCCTGAATTACTGAAAACTGGATTTCTCTGCAAAAGGGAAGTGTTAAGGTTCTGTGCCACCAGTTGAGGCTGTGAACTCTTACAACACAGCTGAGTTAGGCCAACTGCACACAGCAGAAGTGGGATCTGCTCTGCCCTGTAATGGTGCTACGTATGCCAAGCTCTGCTTTCTCAGGGAGCAGACAGAGCTGCAGCTTTCCTCCCCCCACTCCTTTGGAGCATTGCTTCTTTCCACCTTGGCTCTGTATCACTCTAGGATTACTGTCAACAGCTCTGAAGGAAAAGTCAAGCCCCTAGGAAAGCTCTTGTTTCCATCTTGTTTCCATCTTGGCAACAAGAGCTATGGCAGCTTTTGCTTTTTTTAGCTATCTAGAGGAGCCAAAGCTAAAGGTTGAAATACTTCTGCCTTTTCCACTTCTGGTGCTGCTCTTTGCAAATTTCAGTAGCTGAGTCACACTTAAGCAGCAGTCCCCAGAGTATTAATTCTCATGCCTTTTTCAGTTTAAAACTAGCAGATGCAAGCGTTTTACAACTGTCAACAAACCACAATGTAGAAAATAAAAGTGTTGGACAAGAAAAGAACAACAAACTTGCGAAATACTTTTTTCAGTAAAGGTCAGGACAGAAGCCAAGAAGAGTTACTACTTTGTAAGAACATCACAACTGCTCTCAGGCTACGTTGCAATCCATCCATCTGTGTACAGTCTCTCCATGACTCTGTATTTGGGAGTTTAAAGATACCAGTGGTGCCACACTTCATGCACTTATCTCTTTAATGCTTACATAGGCTCTTCAAGATGTTACAAACCACATGTTAAGAAGTATTTTATAAAAATAAACCAAATATCTGAAGAATGTTTCAAAGGACACCAGCCCAACTTAGACTGGAGTGTTCTTGTCATATGCTTCATAGGCAAACTTTTCTTTATGAGCTCTGTCGTTTAGCAGACCAATAAAATCAATCTCCAGCTGGAATGGACCATCTACTTTATCTCCAATGGTGAATCCAAGGGTTCTAACCTGATTAAAAGACACAGAGGGTAGAACAGTATTTATAATATCACAATCAAACTCAGTTGTATCTCCCAAGTCATATTTAACACACCGATCACAGCCATCTTCTTTAAAATGGTATTTGTTCAAAATGCAGCGGCATTTTTTAAGGCTTGAACACTTCACTGTCCCATTTTCAATAGAGACCCCAGTGGGAAATGACTCCACATGTGCCTGTCTACCACTGTGTTAGTAAACCCTTGATTTAAAATGGCCCAAGCCTAAAGCGAGTTACTTTTATCCTTCATGCTTTCTATACAGCCACTTTCATCACAATTTGATTTTATGAAAATGTGTTTAGAAATCCCAATTCTTTCGCTAATAGGAGAAACAAAGATGTAATTAAGGATGGAAGGGATCATTCTACATAGTGATACACCATCTACTCTGTGAAAACAACAAACCAGACATTTTAGAACTTAACTTTAAGCTGGCATGAAACTTAATTACTGAGTTTAATAGTAAAACAAGGCTCTTAGCCACTGTTTTCCAATTAGAATAATGTTTTTAAATATAAGAACAAGTCTGTGTGGCTCGTGCATGCTTTCTATTAGCCTGTGGCTTGCCCAAATGCTCCCTCAGCTCTCACAGGTTACAAAACACCTCCATCATTAACAGCTCAGTACAGTCACCAGTGCAGGCCACCTCATAAAATCAGCTGCCCCAAAGCCCTGCTGAAAGTGCAGGTCTGAGCAGTGCCCATGATTTTAAGGACTGCTGTAAGTTTGGGAAAATAATGCCTAGGCTGTGTCAGATGTTTAAATGTAGACTGAATGTAAATCTATATTGCAAATATATGCTAAATAAATAACAGAACAAAGCTAGGTAAATGCACTGACACTCCTCTGGATCATTCTAATGCTTTCAATGCTATTCCTGCCCCAGCAGCAAGCTCTACAAGCAGCCCCTTGGCTTTTAGAGTCCAGAGAGTTTTAAAGCTCTTTTTTAGCAAATCACATTGTTACAGATAATCTACAGGAGTCACCTAAACTCTGCTCTGAAGAATCTATTCCTTTGCAAGCTCTAGATACATTGACTGTTTCCTGCCTTTTTTATTCCTATTTAACAATTACTTTCTGCTTTTCCAGGTTCCTAGGAAAACATACGTTAGTGTGATGAGGGCCATTCATTTAAGAGTTGGACTTGATGGTCCTGTGGGTCCCTTCCAACTCCAAATATTCTGTATGTGACCAAGACATTTTATGAAGATTTCTTAAACTACCTTCCCACTGCTTCCCTGATTTCTGGGTTTCTTTAAAATATGTTTTTAAAATTACACTACAAGTGCATAATTTTTACTGTCAAATGCTGCACATAAAATAACCATCAACAAAAGTTAAATGAAGGATACTTAGATCAAGTACTGATTTGTCCCTTTAACTCCAAGTAAATATTTTTAAATAGCCCATACACAACTTCATTTTCTCATTTACCACATGTGAGAATAAGTACCTTATAACATGAAGAGGCCCTTCAATTTCAAATTCACAAACATTAGAGAATTTGTAAGTTATCTATATCAGGCCATCTTGAAGGAAATTTCCTACAGAGCAGTTGTGTGTTCCTTATACTGCCTTTTAAAATGAAATTTCAAATAAAGCCAACTGAAAACTTGCCTTGTCTAACCAGACAGGATGCTGGTTATCCTGGACTCTTCCCCGACTGGAGAGAAAGAATTTGGAGAATGGAATCTGACATAAACAAAACAAAATCAGACTTTAGTGTCACCAGTGTATAAAATAGAAACTTAGGGAAAAGAAAATAGCGTGTTAGTAAAGTAACGCTCTGCTGTACCTGGTACTAGAATTAGCTGGGTACATACAACTGGCACAAAGAAATGGGCCACATTAACCCTTTCAGCTGGCCACTCGCAGCCAGCTCCAGGCCCACCCCGCCCTGCGGCGGC